AAGGCCTGCCTGGGAAGAGGGGAATTTGATGAAGCTAAGTGTGAGTAAGAACAAGGAACCCGTCATTAAGAGAAGAACATCCGTGCCTCCTTGTGAGCCAATAGAGGGGAGAAGTGTGACGTCACGTTACCACAGTCGCAAATTTTCGGAATCACAACGGCGACGGCGAACAGCAAAAAAACAACTTTGCACGTGTATCACGCTTTTTTGTACATTTCTTAGCCGTTGTTGCTCGACTGCCACATGAAACTTCCTAATTTCACGCGCACGGTTTATGAAGTAGGTAAGCACAACACCAAAATTTTCTTTCTCTTTTTCTAAACTTAGATACGGTCCTTTTGGATTTAACCCAGAAAATTTCGCCAACATTTGACAAATTAAATGAAATTACATAAGATCGAGGAAGTTTGAAACAGTGCGAATCCACTTTTTAAGTAACGTTTTGGTTTGTTGTCATTAAGAAATTTTACTCCCAAGACAACTTGACGAAACGACTGCTTCTCTCTATTGTTAATATTAAATATATCTGAAGCTCCTACGTGCATTTCAGGATATCTCAATTCTACCAGCTGGGATTTGCATTTGATGAAAGAACTGTAAGGCGTATGCATATCTTTAAATACCTGAACCAAAATGATATGCTGTCCGCTTACCAAAGTCTCCTTGAAATGTTAATGTTGGGAGGTTTAAGAAAGTCTTCGTGATCAGATCTCTATTTGATAAATTAAAGGTTGTAATATAGTATTTTTCTAGTCTTAGGGCTTGTTTACATGGAGGTGGGGGACTCCAGGTAGGTAAGGTAACCTGTCTCTCCATATAATCTCTTATTTTACTTTGGTCACGTTTTTATATGATAGTTAGGGTGACCATATGGGAGATTGAATGGACAGGCGGGTTACCCTACCTAAGCGGGTTACCTCACCATCCTGGGGTCCCCCACCTCCATGTAAACAGGCCCTTAGAAAGTTTTTACTTCGAATGTTGTTACCGTGAAAGCTTTATCATCTCGGTTTACCACTATTAATTCGATGAAGGCAACCCACGGCAGGGGGGGGGGGTACCCCTTATATAAGCCATATAGGTATGTGGCGTCCCAAAGGGTATGATCTTTACGCCTTTTCGGTCTGAAATGGGGTATAGACTTTGCCTAGTTGGTTTGGAATCGGATATAGTTTTCAGGGGAATACGGGAGTGTATGAACGTACTATTGATTTATTGTGTCGTTTTAAATCCAAATGAATTTTAAAAGAAATAATATACGAATTCGAAATGGATTTTAAGAAATCTTTTTGTAAGCAATATAATTTAAGTAAATATTTTTAGAGGTCAGGTCTGAAAGCGGGTGTGGAAAATGAAATTTTCAGGGTATGAAATAGGCCTAGGATTTGGGGAACCGGGGGGCATCCCCACACCATGGAGTACCCTCTCCTAGAACAAGGCAAACTGAGTTTAAAAGGGAAGCAAAAGAGCCTTCTATCCTATGTTTTCAGAGATGTTTAGACACTTATTTGTGTTTTTATAGCTGTCAGCAAAGCAAAACGATGTTATCATTGCCTCGAAGATGTAGGTTCGGGTGATGACATTGCGTTGTGTAACAGCAACCAGATTTCGTTGCCTTGTTTTTATCGACAATTTCCCACTGTTGGAGAAGGTCAATGCTTTACCGCAGCAGGGAGGTTCAAGTACCTGGACGGGTCCGAGGTTATTCACACAGGTATAGCACGAGGATGTATTGACTGCAGAGGTAAGAGAACTTGACAGCGGATATCTGTGAATATCGACCATAGGTAGGAAATATAAAATCTTGCAATCTTGGTATTTTTAATTGCGGGCGACAAGAGGAGTCCGTAATCCTAATCTCCAGGTTGTAATTACGCATGCGTCGCATGTAGCCAGCATTTGTTTAGACTTACACTAAGAATGATTGGAATGCACAGAACGCAATTTGACCACTCGTGTTTAGACCTTCTATCACTTGCAATCTGATCACGCGTGCTTTGGCGCGGGCGTCAAGTTAAGGCGCTTCATATCCCCGCCCCCCCCCCTCCCCCATTTTCTTTTTGGGGGCCTGTAATACGAGATGCAAAAAGATCTCGATTTGAAACTAATTCAAATATCATTCAACCTACAAAGCTTCTGAACGTACAGAGTATAAGCGTAATTTTAACACACATTTTGAGTGGTTATTTTGTCTGATTTTATTTTCTTCAAAACGGATACAGCTATAATGATGATATGCCTTCACCCTTTTGCTTTTATATACTCGATGTTTGGATACCTCCATCAGATGCGAGCATTAACGCTACTGTTTTGAAACTATTACTTTGCTTGTTGTCTTTTTTACAGACAAAGCAGCAGCTTGTGGAACATTAAGAGCCGCTTTTGATACACAGCCTCAAAACTGGACCTTGCTGGATTGTAACATTGAGTGCTGTACTGGCCATAACTGTAACAACCAGAACGTCACTGTGGTTCCTCCAACAGCCGCTTCAACTCCAACTCCTTCAACTCGACCTACATCTGAGCCACATGGTAATTCTTGTTGTAATATGTCAAAAACAAGGGCAAGCACGAAGCCCGAGTTTTTGACATGTCTACTTAAATGAAACTATAAGAAATTATGCAGTGATGTGCTTTCTCTGGTATTGCATTGTTTCCATGAGTTGTGTTAATCAATAAAACATCTCAGTGAAATGCAAGTGTTTGAGCTCAGATGAAAAACATGTTTCATTTCAAATGAAAACCCGGTGGTGTTTTATCTGGTGTTTCATTACGTATCAAAATTCATCCACCTGACCCAAATGGTCGTCATTTATTGGCTTTTGACTGCATGAGTAATTAATGAGTTTAAAAATTGCTTGTTTAAAATTCGCCTCGGCCAATCAATATAGTGACATGGAATGAAACAGGTCCTAACTGATATCAGCCCGTTTTCTAGCGCCAAGCAATCTTTTAAAGGTCATGATGACCACATCATTGAGGTTTTCGTACCTTTACGAGAGCAGTATGGGCTCTTTAACTTTCTTGATAATCCTTGTTTCTGTAGGTTTTTGATGTACCAGTTATAGATCGCGGCAAAAGGCAGCAGCATTACATCGCGCTACAACTAAATCTTCAACCCATTTCTCTCGTGCATCAGATTCGCCCCAACCAAACCTCAGCTTCTTCCACCTTCACAGACTCGAAAGGGTTAACATAAATTTCGGATTTGGATTCACAGAATCCTTTTGAAAACAACAACAATAACAACAAACAACCAAACAACATCGGCTTTTATTCTTTCAGGAAGCCGATATTGGTAACAACAAATCTTCCTGGTTGGGTGCCCCAAACGCTGAAAGCGCACTTTCACAATGCCCTGAATTATACCTTGTCGCAAAGTGGCGTATTAAAGCATACGGCTGTTTATTTATTTATTTGTTTATTTTCTTTTCCTTTTTGCTCTTGTTACGCTAACAACGTTAGACCGCAACTTGTATCCACACGGTCCAGAACAGCATGATAACGAGATTACTGAAGATACCTTCTACCACATATACGGCTGCAACAGAATCGATGCTGACCGGTTTGGAATCCCATTTTTCAAAAAAAGGCATAGCAAAGTGCATGTAAGTATTTTTCTTATACACCTTATTCCAAAAATTGCAGCAATATTCCTTAGCTTTTCTTTTATATTTACACTAATTATTTATTCAAATGAACTTTTTTTCTTGAAACGAGGTATTGAGAGCCAATTATCGTAATAACAAAATAATAACAAAATTTACCGCCAATTTGGAATAACGTGCATTGGCACTATTCGTCCTTTGAACAACTCTGTGCCTGGCACTAGTAGTTCAAAACGTGAATAACGGCATAATCTACCGATTAGATTTTAACAGACTTTTATCCATTGCGTAGCACAATTGGTTTCAATAGATAATTTATCCGGGAGATATAGAGCTATCAGACGTTAAACAACCGGTGCCAGGTTTTTAGTCCTTACCAACAACCCTGCCTGGTTTGTACTTGTTCAAGGCCAGAGTGATTCTGCGTACCTTATTTACCCTAAGCAGGAATTGTCACACTTGTTACAATGCAGTAATCTGGATCGGTTTCATAGGAAAGTACATTATTGCAATTATGATTATGATTATGATTATGGTTATGATTACTATCATCATTATTCTTATTATTATTCGTTTTTTTATTAGATTTGCGCCAACGGTAAAATCCAATTTGAAGATCAATGGAGTTATTTCTGGCCCCAAAAATTTGGCAGGGCTTACTGGTGGATGAGAAATAGGGCGATTATTGCCCCATTTTGGGCGGCAGTGGACGAGTATGTGGCATTTAAAGTTAATCATTCGAGGGTTTATTACCAAGTTTACTCACACACGAAGCCGAAAGGCAATCGAACNTAATCTACCGATTAGATTTTAACAGACTTTTATCCATTGCGTAGCACAATTGGTTTCAATAGATAATTTATCCGGGAGATATAGAGCTATCAGACGTTAAACAACCGGTGCCAGGTTTTTAGTCCTTACCAACAACCCTGCCTGGTTTGTACTTGTTCAAGGCCAGAGTGATTCTGCGTACCTTATTTACCCTAAGCAGGAATTGTCACACTTGTTACAATGCAGTAATCTGGATCGGTTTCATAGGAAAGTACATTATTGCAATTATGATTATGATTATGATTATGGTTATGATTACTATCATCATTATTCTTATTATTATTCGTTTTTTTATTAGATTTGCGCCAACGGTAAAATCCAATTTGAAGATCAATGGAGTTATTTCTGGCCCCAAAAATTTGGCAGGGCTTACTGGTGGATGAGAAATAGGGCGATTATTGCCCCATTTTGGGCGGCAGTGGACGAGTATGTGGCATTTAAAGTTAATCATTCGAGGGTTTATTACCAAGTTTACTCACACACGAAGCCGAAAGGCAATCGAACCAGTCATATTCTCAATATGGCCTCCCAGCACGTACAAATCTACGATGGAAGTGGAAAGTTTCACAACTTCTCAGCGACGTGGGTTCTTGTTGTGACTTGGAAAGATCTATGTCCGTTCTTCTACTATGGTTTACCTCGGCTGCAGTGTCGTTGGGTAAGTTTTTTACGATTTCGCAACTGTAGCCTAATTTTTAAGTGCTTACGCGCTTAAATTTACTTACATAAATGAAATAGAGGTGATGTATGAAACTAAATGCGTAAACGTAAAAAATGAGCGAGGTTTAACTTTGACGCTTACGAGTGACACCTCTCCGCTTACATTGCTTCTATTTAACTTACGGGTGTAAAATTTACGTGCTTACGCGCGTAAAAATAACGCGAAAGTTGAAATCCACCCTTAAGGTTTAATAAAATTTATAGGGAAAACAATGGTTAAACCAGGACCGCTTAATCCGATTTAGTTGGGAGACAGTACCTCTTGACGACCAACGAGTGCACGAGAATTTGCCAAAAATTATGTTGAAATGTTATTTCTATTTCTATAGTTATTAAAACGACACAACCTTTATTCGCAGAACAACACTTTTCAAGCTGTCATCATTACGGATGGGTTTAACTCATTTCTGATGTACAATTATCCAAAAGGAGGAATACAGTGGGTTGTTGATGCGCCTGTGTAAGTTTTCAACTATTAGTGATCCAGTGCTATGCCAGACATCCTCAGGGCCGACCGCTTGTGTCCTTAATGGCAAGAATTCGTATTAGTGGTGTAAGAAATAAAATTTCCTTAAAAGATTGGTTTTAGAGGAGTGGCGTATATTTACATCAACAATAACTTCGATTGAGGATACTCAATAGGAGAATAGTACATCCAACCTTAAAAGAGAGTAAATAATGTGACGTAGCCCTGTAGCTAATCATACTTTGCGGACCTCTCAGGAAACAGACTTTAGACCCTAAATTAAAATTCACATTTCCCAATGCCTTGCACTGAGCTCCCTCTACGTCCCATCAATCCTCTCTTGTCAAAATAAGACCATTATGTTATAAGCGGCTCATTCTTAGAATTTTTTTTCTCGTTATCGTATTGTTAAATGGCCTTCTTCTTCATCTAGCGGATGAAGTTCATGAAAAAAACTTGAAAGTAATGTCAGCATACTGCCCCCTCTAGAACATTTTGTCAATACAAAAACACTGTAATATAAAACGCCTCTCTTTTGTAGGAGCGACTACCGTTACTGGACACAAGCAACTGGTATTCCTGTTGCTGGATGGAACGCGGGAGATGATGGAAATAGCAGCACATTAAATATAAAAGGGTAAGAAAAGAAACTGAACCCTTATAAATAGACCTTTTTACCGATACGGCGGCCACATCGAATTTACTAGATTTTAGGAGTATTATGGGATGCCCAGGGGGCACTCGCTCAGTATTTACGCGCGCTTTTCGGGCCAAGGGAGAACTTCACTGTATATTTCTAGGAAAAAGGCCCTTATTTTTACATCCAAACACGGCACAACGATCTTTTTTTCCAATTACAATCTTTTTCCAGGAAAACTTACAGAAAACTTGGCCCGAAAAGCGCGCATAAATACTGAGCGAGTACATCGGATCGTGGTCATGCCCCCTGGGCATCCGATAATACTCCTTAAAAGAAATTAATTCAATATGGCCGCCGTATCGGTAGAAAGGTCTATTAAGCTGCACCAGCTACAAAAAGGATTTACTATACTCAGGGGTCCTCGTCAAGTTTTGGACAAGACAGCCAGGATGTAAACGTGGGTGGCTTGCCAGTCGATGGCTGAGGGCATTTTCAGGCTCTCATTCGCCTGTCTCACACTACCACATGAAGTAGCCTGTTTTTTTTGTTTTTTTTTAGCCGGTTGCCGGTACTGAATGAGAACCCTGACTGGCTTCTCTCCATAACGAAATAACGATAAAGGCGGATTTCTCGATTTCTCTTCACGTTCAGTTTTGTTTTGCGTACATTTGCTTCAAATTGCCAAACTTTTCAACCACTTTTCAGCAGTCCTAAAATGATGGAATAATATGATTATTAATTCTTTAAAATGACGAGAAAATTTATTTTCCCCAGAATGTGATAAGCCCCTTTTAACCCTAGTGGGTGGTTATACGGCATGTTCCTGGAGACAAACACAAGACACAAACTCCGTTTTGGGTTTTCTCGTTCATTTGGTTAGGTTCTACCCAATCAATGCACCCCGAAAAACAACAACACTGGTGTTCCAGACTGTGAGTAAGTCATTTGACAATGATTCCGATTTGTTCTCCTAACTTTTAAATGGCAACTTTGACGCTATTATCCTGAGAAAACAGCCTACATTTCGCAACCACTAGCTTCCCCGCGAAATGACGTCTGAGAAACGAGCACAGACATTCTATAATGATGACGCGTCACTACCTGGGTGTTGGTAGTGCCTGCTAATTGGTCGTGCCGTGTGGGAAATTTTCTTCAACCAATCAGTGGCGTCGCATATTGTAGGCTGTTTTATCAGGCTATAATAAAGGCTCTCTTCATAAGTAATAGCATAAGTAATCCAGTTAGATTATTCATTGGTTTGAACGTTTGTTTCAGCTCAGGAACGCTGGTGGCCATGTACAACCTCGACAAAAAAGCTGGAAATACAGGTCTGGCTGGAAGGTATTTTTGGAGGATCGAGAACAGAAATAGGCGAGACGCAAAGGACAAGTGCTTTACATGGATCAGTCTTCAACAGCAAGCAACCATTCTTAACCTGTACAGTTTCCGAATTCAACTAAACCCAGCTATGGCTTGCCCTTGTAGTTTGAGTCAGGCCTTACTGGACAGACGATTTATCCCAGACTGGTGGTTCACTGGACGCGATGGGTGCTTTATAACTAGGCGTCCTGTATTATTCGATGAAGAGCGGAAGACTGTGATGAGACAGAGGTGTTGCTACTCGATAGAGTTTGGATCTCTGTTGATTGGACCTCCCAATGGAGGTCGTTTATATCTTACCCCCTTTGAGCATCGGTGGAATGCACAGAAGGTTTTCTATGACTCTGACCAGCAGGCATATGAGTTTTGTTGTTTCGGCTCTGCTTTGTGCGATCTGTTTTACTCCTATCGTCCATCTGATGACTGCGCAGAGTACAGAGTTCCCCGAAGGCGTAAGTTTTTTTTTCTTTTTTGCTATACATCCTTATATGTAATGAAGATGATTGAAATGCGGAAATATAAATTTAATGAACTTGTGATCGTCGCAGTGGTAATTTCCATTTAAGCAATTGCAAATTAACCCGAAAAAAGTGGCCTGCTCCTAATGTACGTAAGAGCTCAGTTGGTAGAGCACTGCAGCACTAACGCAGCGGACGTGGGTTGGAATCCCGTGTAAGTCTCGAAATTTTTTCGGGTTAATTTGCAATTGCTTAAATTGCAACAACTGCGACGATCATATCTTCGTTTAAATATGCTTATATGTATTTGCTATGTTCTGAGGGTGTTAATGATTATGTGTCCGTTAAAAAAGTTAACGTCTAAACTTTAAAATCAATTGCCTCATATCCTTAGCCACAATGGGCTTGAGAAAACCTTGACTAAAAATGCTCGTAAAATTCAAAACGTTGTGAAAAATCTAGCTAGCTTTACTTTGTCAGCATGGGTAGGTCTATCGATTAATGTAGAACAAATCAAAATCAGACTTGGGTGCAAGCAGATCTGGCGCCACAACCACACCCTAGAATCCTCCCCCTTCCGCCTTGTGCTGTACACTAATCTTGGTGCTGTTGCGTTTTGCCATTACTATGTTGTCAGCAACGTTGTTTGTGGTACGGTTTTTTATGACATTTGTTTGATAATTATTAAGTGGTATGATGTGGTATAATGACCAAATTTTTTTGAGATTACCAACTGGGCTTTTGTTTTGTTAACGAAGGTTGGGCTTGGGGAGATCCTCATTTTGTCACACTGGACGGTGCGAATTATACATTTAACGGCCTTGGCGAGTACGTGATGATTGACGCCCAAAATGGAACCTTTCAACTACAGGCTAGGACAGGCCTTGCTCAAGGAAATTCCACGACTGCAACAATTTTTACTGCCCTGGCGGCTAAAGAGAGCAATACTGCTTCTGTTGAAGTCAAGCTAAGAGATGGAGGTAAGGAGTCAGAGAAAGTGGAGTTAATCTTATAGGACTAGGTTTCTTCAGAAAGAGATTGGACAAACGACATTGTTTTTCAAATCACAAATAGATTGGCTCATGACAGTGTGTTCAGTTACTGACCTTTCTCAGAGCCTTCAACTTTAAGTCTATCCAATTCTTTTACATTTAGCATCGTGAGCAGCCATTTTGAATTGTGTGTGACGTCATTTCCTCCAACGTGAAACTACGAGAAGGTTTTCCATTGTTGCTAGTTTTCCAAACTCAAAAAGCCTCGAGAGCTACACCCTTTGGGGCGGCACAAACCTGTATAGCTTATATGAGGGAGTACCCCACCTCTGAATGACATGAAGGTCATATTGCAAGATGTTGTGGTAGTTTTATTTTATTTTTTTTTAGTTTTACTAGCTTTTCTGGACACTGGCCTGCACAGAGGAAATGGGCACGAACGGGACTCGTAGGTCCCATGCAAGGTGCCATCCCTATCCAACCCCACAACCCGTAAAGGTTGGCCACACCGCCGGGGTCTTCGTCCCCTACTCTTTTCGAACAGTGGTGTGGGTCCTTTTACGTCCCACATGAACAGATCAGAGAAAGTGCTGTAAGACGGGACCTATGGGAAGACTAGAAAGTCTAACCATTTGCAGATGTCATTACAAAGGCAGCACTTTCTTCTCAGTTATTTAAAGACCCTAGGTGTTGGTCCGGCCGGGGTTTGAACCCGCGACCTCCCACTCGGCAAGACCGGCGCTCTCTCAACTGCGCTAACCAGGCGGCGATTATGTAACAACAACGAAATCACACGCATTACTCTCACTGGCCTGCGAGCGAGCTCTCCATGTGGGGAAGGTAGGAGAGGACTCACATATAGGTGTTCTCACTTATAGGGATATCGCGATAACAGTACCCAGAGAAGTAAGCAGGAAAAACAGCGAGCAGAGTAAGGAGAACGAGGACGTGGGGGACAGTTCTATTTTCTCTCCCTCACCCTTTCTTCGGAATTTGTTTTTTGTCTCCGCTCTCCATTTCACGCCGCTCTCAGCTCCTACGCGGGAAACCCTAGTCCGATCTCCATCTTAAAAAAGTACTTGGCCTATTATATTGTCAAAGGAGGTGAATGCAAACGGCAGGAATCAACTTTGATAGGTGTACGTGTTAGGGAAGTGTCCACCTTGTAGAGGTTTCTGTTAAGAGAGACTCTTGGATTTTAACTTTTATGTTATGCAGAGAGATATAATTATCCTTTCTGTGCCTTTTTTTTTAGGAGGAATCGAAGTTCTGATTGACAGGAAAGCGTACGTTGGCTACAACAATTTGACAAATCAAAGTGTAGAACTGATTGACGAAAATCTTTCTGTCTCCAAACCAGAGGAAAGCTGTTTCGAGGTATATTTTCCATCAACAACATCCATGCAGTTTTGCGAGAACAAGAAAATGCTTTCCTTTGTTGTAGTCCCAGCGGAAATTTACAAAAACGCAACGAAGGGGTTGCTAGGAACTTGGAATGATGACCCAAGTGATGAATTCACACTGCCTAATGGGACGGTGTTAGGATCATCTTCATCGCTGAGAGATATTCACTTTGGCTTTGGTGTTACATGTAAGTGTGAGTTGTAATGCAGTCTTACTTGATTATGAAAGCGATACATATCACAATGAAAAGAAAAGACGGATGGTCAAACGTGCCACTCGCGCTTAGAATCTTCAAAGACATTGACCCTCTCACTGCCAAGAGTGCCGGCCAAAGTCAAAATACGACAAATTTCCAAATTTCATTTTGTAATATGCTGAAAAGCAAATTTAAAAGATTATTCATTGGTTTGAACGTTTGTTTCAGCTCAGGAACGCTGGTGGCCATGTACAACCTCGACAAAAAAGCTGGAAATACAGGTCTGGCTGGAAGGTATTTTTGGAGGATCGAGAACAGAAATAGGCGAGACGCAAAGGACAAGTGCTTTACATGGATCAGTCTTCAACAGCAAGCAAACATTCTTAACCTGTACAGTTTCCGAATTCAACTAAACCCAGCTATGGCTTGCCCTTGCAGTTTGAGTCAGGCCTTACTGGACAGACGATTTTTCCCAGATTGGTGGTTCACTGGACGCGATGGGTGCTTTATAACTAGGCGTCCTGTATTGTTCGATGAAGAGCGGAAGACTGTGATGAGACAGAGGTGTTGCTACTCGATAGAGTTTGGATCTCTGTTGATTGGACCTCCCAATGGAGGTCGTTTATATCTTACCCCCTTTGAGCATCGGTGGAATGCACAGAAGGTTTTCTATGACTCTGACCAGCAGGCATATGAGTTTTGTTGTTTCGGCTCTGCTTTGTGCGATCTGTTTTACTCCTATCGTCCATCTGATGACTGCGCAGAGTACAGAGTTCCCCGAAGGCGTAAGTTTTTTTTTCTTTTTTGCTATACATCCTTATATGTAATGAAGATGATTGAAATGCGGAAATATAAATTTAATGAACTTGTGATCGTCGCAGTGGTAATTTCCATTTAAGCAATTGCAAATTAACCCGAAAAAAGTGGCCTGCTCCTAATGTACGTAAGAGCTCAGTTGGTAGAGCACTGCAGCACTAACGCAGCGGACGTGGGTTGGAATCCCGTGTAAGTCTCGAAATTTTTTCGGGTTAATTTGCAATTGCTTAAATTGCAACAACTGCGACGATCATATCTTCGTTTAAATATGCTTATATGTATTTGCTATGTTCTGAGGGTGTTAATGATTATGTGTCCGTTAAAAAAGTTAACGTCTAAACTTTAAAATCAATTGCCTCATATCCTTAGCCACAATGGGCTTGAGAAAACCTTGACTAAAAATGCTCGTAAAATTCAAAACGTTGTGAAAAATCTAGCTAGCTTTACTTTGTCAGCATGGGTAGGTCTATCGATTAATGTAGAACAAATCAAAATCAGACTTGGGTGCAAGCAGATCTGGCGCCACAACCACACCCTAGAATCCTCCCCCTTCCGCCTTGTGCTGTACACTAATCTTGGTGCTGTTGCGTTTTGCCATTACTATGTTGTCAGCAACGTTGTTTGTGGTACGGTTTTTTATGACATTTGTTTGATAATTATTAAGTGGTATGATGTGGTATAATGACCAAATTTTTTTGAGATTACCAACTGGGCTTTTGTTTTGTTAACGAAGGTTGGGCTTGGGGAGATCCTCATTTTGTCACACTGGACGGTGCGAATTATACATTTAACGGCCTTGGCGAGTACGTGATGATTGACGCCCAAAATGGAACCTTTCAACTACAGGCTAGGACAGGCCTTGCTCAAGGAAATTCCACGACTGCAACAATTTTTACTGCCTTGGCGGCTAAAGAGAGCAATACTGCTTCTGTTGAAGTCAAGCTAAGAGATGGAGGTAAGGAGTCAGAGAAAGTGGAGTTAATCTTATAGGACTAGGTTTCTTCAGAAAGAGATTGGACAAACGACATTGTTTTTCAAATCACAAATAGATTGGCTCATGACAGTGTGTTCAGTTACTGACCTTTCTCAGAGCCTTCAACTTTAAGTCTATCCAATTCTTTTACATTTAGCATCGTGAGCAGCCATTTTGAATTGTGTGTGACGTCATTTCCTCCAACGTGAAACTACGAGAAGGTTTTCCATTGTTGCTAGTTTTCCAAACTCAAAAAGCCTCGAGAGCTACACCCTTTGGGGCGGCACAAACCTGTATAGCTTATATGAGGGAGTACCCCACCTCTGAATGACATGAAGGTCATATTGCAAGATGTTGTGGTAGTTTTATTTTATTTTTTTTTAGTTTTACTAGCTTTTCTGGACACTGGCCTGCACAGAGGAAATGGGCACGAACGGGACTCGTAGGTCCCATGCAAGGTGCCATCCCTATCCAACCCCACAACCCGTAAAGGTTGGCCACACCGCCGGGGTCTTCGTCCCCTACTCTTTTCGAACAGTGGTGTGGGTCCTTTTACGTCCCACATGAACAGATCAGAGAAAGTGCTGTAAGACGGGACCTATGGGAAGACTAGAAAGTCTAACCATTTGCAGATGTCATTACAAAGGCAGCACTTTCTTCTCAGTTATTTAAAGACCCTAGGTGTTGGTCCGGCCGGGGTTTGAACCCGCGACCTCCCACTCGGCAAGACCGGCGCTCTCTCAACTGCGCTAACCAGGCGGCGATTATGTAACAACAACGAAATCACACGCATTACTCTCACTGGCCTGCGAGCGAGCTCTCCATGTGGGGAAGGTAGGAGAGGACTCACATATAGGTGTTCTCACTTATAGGGATATCGCGATAACAGTACCCAGAGAAGTAAGCAGGAAAAACAGCGAGCAGAGTAAGGAGAACGAGGACGTGGGGGACAGTTCTATTTTCTCTCCCTCACCCTTTCTTCGGAATTTGTTTTTTGTCTCCGCTCTCCATTTCACGCCGCTCTCAGCTCCTACGCGGGAAACCCTAGTCCGATCTCCATCTTAAAAAAGTACTTGGCCTATTATATTGTCAAAGGAGGTGAATGCAAACGGCAGGAATCAACTTTGATAGGTGTACGTGTTAGGGAAGTGTCCACCTTGTAGAGGTTTCTGTTAAGAGAGACTCTTGGATTTTAACTTTTATGTTATGCAGAGAGATATAATTATCCTTTCTGTGCCTTTTTTTTTAGGAGGAATCGAAGTTCTGATTGACAGGAAAGCGTACGTTGGCTACAACAATTTGACAAATCAAAGTGTAGAACTGATTGACGAAAATCTTTCTATCTCCAAACCAGAGGAAAGCTGTTTCGAGGTATATTTTCCATCAACAACATCCATGCAGTTTTGCGAGAACAAGAAAATGCTTTCCTTTGTTGTAGTCCCAGCGGAAATTTACAAAAACGCAACGAAGGGGTTGCTAGGAACTTGGAATGATGACCCAAGTGATGAATTCACACTGCCTAATGGGACGGTGTTAAGATCATCTTCATCGCTGAGAGATATTCACTTTGGCTTTGGTGTTACATGTAAGTGTGAGTTGTGATGCAGTCTTACTTGATTATGAAAGCGATAGATATCACAATGAAAAGAAAAGACGGATGGTCAAACGTGCCACTCGCGCTTAGAATCTTCAAAGACATTGACCCTCTCACTGCCAAGAGTGCCGGCCAAAGTCAAAATACGACAAATTTCCAAATTTCATTTTGTAATATGCTGAAAAGCAAATTTAATAGTACTATGTGAAAGTAATGCAAACGACGTTTTATTTGAATGGTCACACCATAGGATTTCGTCGACAGACTCAAAAGTTACGACCACATTACAAGACTCCAGCCTTTAGTACTCTGGCAATGAAAGGGTTAGCATCACGACTTCTGTAAAGGACAAGACATAAGAACAATACCTTTTCATTGATTTCGTGATTTTCATGCTTTGATCCTAGTTACTAGCGTAGTTATAATGTTTACCTGATTTTCTATTGGTTTTGTAATGAGATATTTCGGCGTCCCCACGCGGGTATAAAAGCGCGCGTTAGCGTCCTTTTGGTCAGGAAAAGTCAAGTAGGATTCGTGTCGTAACATCGTTTTTGTGGTTTGTTTTAACCTTTGGTACAAGCGGGACCGATATGTAAGTGATTTCTTTTGTTTAGTTCTTTGTTTAGTTTCGTTCTTTAGTCTGTGGGCAAAAGTACACGAATGTTACTGTACAAGTATACAGATTTAAGTTTAATTGATTTATAATTGTTTCATGAGCGAAAAGCGGATTTGAACGCCTGTTAGAGCAACGCCCACACTTTTGCTTTATAGTACAAGGATTAAGATCAGATTTATAGAGTTATTGTCTAATTTCAGTTTATGTAGCCTTTAATTAGATTTTACCGTCTTGTTATCGACCTAATCGTTATAGAATCGCTTTATTACCGTTTTCAAGCTTCAGTTTGTTGATTACGCGTTATTTGTCTTAGTATCGCCCTTTTGCCAAATTGATAGAGATTTTTGTATTGTTATTTCAGTTTACGGTCAATCTTTGGTCTATAGATTTTGGTCTTTGGAATCTGGAATTAAATCACCGTTAACCGTCACCTTTGGTTTTCCGTGGTTTTCTTGTTTAACCGACCCGTAAAATAGTCCCTAACCTAACCTGCTGCGACAGACCCCTCGAAGTTTCGTTTCTCGTTTGTTTGTTTGTTTGGGTCGTCGCCAGCCACAACTTCAATTAGTCAATAACATCAAATCAGAGTTCAATTGACCATAAAAAACTCGCTTTCACTCTGAAAATGACTACCACAAAGGATGTCAACACTTCAGTCACTTAATCTACAACAGTCCTATTCGATTTCGAGTTTACACTTACCTGGACGAATATATTCAACTTACTCCTGGCTCCTGAGTTCAAACCATTTACAATACAGTTATATTGCTAAACACTGTAGATTACGTAGATTACGTACGTACTTATGTAATTATGCCATTGCACTACAGTACCAATTGGAGGCCCTTTAAGACGCGTAACTATCCAAACTAGGTCAAACGAGGGTCGAACCTACAACCCTGGTGAAAACGTGTTGGGACACTTAAGGAGATGAGGTGCGAAAACACACCCTGCTTATTAAAATCGTATTTAACCTGTTATAAATGCTTGGAAATGTTGTTGAAAGAGCCTGTTTCTGCTGTCCCCCTCCCCTCAGCCATGTTGATTGTGTTCAGAAAGATTTGAAGCCATAACGTTAATACTGAACCGGGGGGGACGGGAGGGAAGAGAAAATGCGTCATTTTAACCAGCTGTTGCGTTAATGTCCAAAGAGTTTTGACCAGGGTTGTAGCTATAAACTTTTACAACAATACCTTTTTTTCTTGTAAGTGGAGCAGTTATATTTGGTATTCTAAAGAGACTTCGTGCAGTTCTGATTGCTTTAGTCTCAAATGTGGCATGAACTAGCACAGGAGCATCGCGTAAGCAGAGTTATATTTGCTAACGAATGTGTCGCAATATTTTAGGGCAACTCACACAAGTCCAATCTTTGTTCACTTACGGTGAAAATGAAAGCGTGGACACTTTTGCCAGGCCTGACTTTGTGCCCATGTTCTCCGACAATATCGTTTGGTCTGACAACAGCGTAAGATTAGCTGCCGAAGAGCAATGTGGGAACGATAAAGAGTGCTTATTTGACGTAGCCTCCACAANAGAGAAAATGCGTCATTTTAACCAGCTGTTGCGTTAATGTCCAAAGAGTTTTGACCAGGGTTGTAGCTATAAACTTTTACAACAATACCTTTTTTTCTTGTAAGTGGAGCAGTTATATTTGGTATTCTAAAGAGACTTCGTGCAGTTCTGATTGCTTTAGTCTCAAATGAGGCATGAACTAGCACAGGAGCATCGCGTAAGCAGAGTTATATTTGCTAACGAATGTGTCGCAATATTTTAGGGCAACTCACACAAGTCCAATCTTTGTTCACTTACGGTGAAAATGAAAGCGTGGACACTTTTGCCAGGCCTGACTTTGTGCCCATGTTCTCCGACAATATCGTTTGGTCTGACAACAGCGTAAGATTAGCTGCCGAAGAGCAATGTGGGAACGATAAAGAGTGCTTATTTGACGTAGCCTCCACAAATGACCTGTCCGTTGGTATCGCAACCAAAGACATAAGTGCACAGCTGGTGAACGAATCAAACATTCTTGGTAAGTTGTGTGCATGGCTAATATTTCAAGGAAAGGGGGTAAACATATACAGTGAAACCTCCATTAAGCCAACCCCCAACAAAGCGGACACCCTCTATTAAGCGGACACTAAGCCAGGTCCCGAAGGTGTCTGCTTAATAAAGGCAGTTGTTAACACCAGCGTGTGCCTCACCCTTTGGCGGGGATTATCGGTATTTGAAAAATATGGTTAAAAATTAGTAAATGTGGCCTCGTCCTTACAAACGAAAGCCAGCTTAAGCCAGCTTATTTATCTACTGCCTTAATATATGATTTTGAATTCGATGTTGATAATTTTTTATATTTTACGTAACATGAAATATAATCATTTCCCTCCTTAATTCCAAGACACACCACCTACACCGCCCTGACTGGGACAGCGGAACATTTAACCAAATTTGGGAGAGGAGAGCGGAATTAATTAAGAAAGTGACTTGCAATGGGGAGGCTCAGTAATTCTTTATGTCATAAGGAAAAAGGGGGACTAGCCCCCCAGCAACCCCTTGGGCTTCGCTAATCCTGACTGAAGGACTGGGTCATGTAGCAGCTGCTCGGAAGAAAAGTCACCAATGGTGCGATTCCCTAGTCCCAAACAATACTGAAACAATTGGAAGAATGACATGTCATTGTTTCCTGTGACCAATTAGGAGAGACCTTATTAGCAGCTCCCACACTACTTGAAGGATTAACCCCGTGGCCAGGAGGCTCACCGGCTTTCCATAGAAAAGGCTTTTGAGGCTTTGTTGGATTAATTTAGGTTTCTGGGAAACTCACCGCCTACCCCTCCCCTAAGCCAACATTTCGCCCTAAGTGAGAAGTAAGTGCTAATGCTAGCTTAGGGGAGGTGTAGGTGGGCAGTTTCCCAGAAACCTAAATTGATCTGCTGCGTTCACACTATACCGGATAGCTTTTGCACCAGCACGTAGGGCTCCTGTTCACACATAAGAACGGTGATTTTGGCGCGATTTCTGCAACGGAGCGAAGTTGCGCCTCGCGTATCTCTTAAGTGGAGTGTCACGTATCACTCTGCTATTGTGTGAACATAGCCTAAGATACGTTAACGGTTTAGTTTGAATTACTTCATTTTTTTTTTCTTTTTAAAGAGAACTTTCCGCCCAAGTTTATAAATCTACCAAGTGCATTGAATGTTACACTTCACGAAACACTTCAGTTGGAGATTACTGCTGAAGATGACGGCATGATAACCTTTGTAGTACTAAATAAACCTCATGGGGCCACAGAAAACCAAACTGGAAATGTTCTTCAATTTATGTGGCCCGTTAATTCAACAAAAAGGGTAGGCGGCCTTGCTAACTGATTTATGATTATTTAAATTAACTCGTGGAAAAAGGGTTATAGACAGTAGACGTCAGCATCGGGCAATGCAGCCAACGGCAAGCACACCAAATAGCCCCAAATGATATGGAAAACGCAAGAAAAGGGATCGGCACCTCGAGTTTAGCTGCACCTGTTACACGGAGGTTATGCAGTGGAGAAACCATTTTGGGACCTATTTATGTTCCAGTGCTTCCAGCCGTGAGGAAGAGGGGGGAGGAGGGTTCAAAAAAAGTTGCCACAGGTAATGGTAACACAGTTAAAACCCTGCGACCAGACGAGGAATGCGCGCTGCGCATGCCGAGAGTAGCAATTCGCAGACTTGCTCAATTACCCAGTTAACTATGATGTGCGCAGTAACTCTCTTTTGAAGTTCATCCATCTTGACATTTTAAGAAGTGTTTGCACGAGATTATAAACCTTATCTATATCAATCGTATATATACATCAATCTTTTAAGAAGTGTTTACGCGAGATTATAAACCTTATCTATATCAATCTCTTTATTCTTATATTGTTACGTTCTTTTAGGGAAGCTAGATCAGAACACCGGTGTTTTGGGTAGAAGTCCCATATTTACCACTTTTTAATTACACTGTAGCTTCAGGATTTCTCTAATTCCTGAGCTCCGAGGCATTTTTAAAAGTTATAAACGAACGCGCGTATCATGTGGTCATTATTTTTAAGGAGGGCGAGGAGTGCGTTCTCTATTTAATGGGCCTTCTCATTGTTTTAGAACCAGCATATCATTATTGTGTTCAATAGAATAGATTAGTTGGCAATGTTTCATAATGACCCTTTGTTCCCCTTAGTGACCTGCTCTTCCATTTTTTTGACGTTATCAGGAACAGTGGAGGATTTGGTTGGTGATACAACTATAAACCAGTGGAGGATCTAGGGGAGGGGTCCCCGCCTTATTTTTAGACCAAACTTCTCGATTCGTCAGTGTAACTGAAGGTGTTGTTTTTGTTTTCAGGTTAATATATCGTTTGTAGCGATTGATGACAAAGGAGCAAGTACCACCTGGACCCCGACAATAAACATGTGCGCCTGCCAACATGGTGGTCAGTGTGTCCCACCAGAGGAAGGTGACGTACTCAACACTGACAGCAAATTTGTGTATTCAGGGTGCGCATGTCAGGACGGTTACTCAGGAAGGTTCTGCGATAGTAACCTTGATGCCTGCGAGGTGAGTGGTCAGCCGTGTTACGCAGGTGTTGAATGCGTTGACCTACCACCGCCAGCTAATGCTACTGGATACACATGTGGACCCTGTCCAACCGGTTTTACCGGAAACGGTGCTCAGTGTGCGGGTAAGTGGAATTGAGGTACATTTGTGTATTACTAAGTTCAACTTACGCAGAAAACCATCATCGTCATCATCATCATCATCGTCGTCGTCGACATCATCATCACCATTTAAGAGGAAGTTGTCCTTCGGGATGGTACTTTTCTTACCTAAATCAGTGAAGAGGAGGATATGCCTAAATTTATCACGGCTTCAACAAACTGAAAACGCATGTCCTCTAACCATCCTTCGAGCAAACGTTCAGCACAGAAGACGGGTTAATTACGAGAGGGCTAGAGACAGGGCTCTCTTCTCGGGGCCCCCCGCCAGTCTGGTCGAGAATTTGCTGTTCAACCTCGTCCCCAGGGCTTTTCCCTTAAAAAATCATTGCAAATTAATAACGTTCAATGTTTTTCATGTTAAATTATCTAGATATAGATGAATGTGATAGCGGTCAATCAAACAACTGCGAGCAACTCTGCACCAATCTACCGGGGTCGTTCTTCTGTGATTGTCGTGAAGGCTTTAAGCTTAATGCTGATACACGCAGTTGTGACGGTAAGATGTAATTTCTTGGTGTCATCACAGCTCATAGGAAATGCTAACTGATACACAGGGAACTGGACATCCACCCATTTCCGCTCTTAACATCAAGTACCCATAGAAACATCATCACCGCGCGGTGATTATAACATTGAAGGCTAGCATTTTCAAAAATGACAGCCAGATTTCTTGATGTTTCGGAGTCGTAAACTGTTTAATTTAAAGAAAATGCTGTTCCTCAAAAAACAAAAGATGCTACAAAATTTGGACCGACAGTTTAAAGCCCCAAAATCTTTCAAAAATGTGTCTCTTTTTCATTTTATTTTCTCGAATAATCATCAATGTAATTATACTAAAACAATTAGTCCCCTCAGGCGACGTAAATATCGGCGAATAGTCACCGAGACGATTCGCCGATTGTTAAATACTATATGGCTACAATTAGTAAGCCAATGATCCTCTTTTGAAAAAATAAATGAAGTCTAAAACATGAACTGGCATTCACTACGAATTTCCATTTTAATTCAATACCAAAGTGCATGTTATGGGTCACATGGTTCATAACTTAATTTCCGTCAATAGGACGCTAAGTTCTTTAACCTCAGTGTACAACGTAACTTGCGGTCAGACGTTCCTCGCCTGTTCGGCGAGTTCTCTTTTTGACTATAATATAATGAATCGTTTATTTTGGCCAACCTTGTTCGGTGAAGATGACTTGATATTTCTGGGAAACTGCCCACCTACATGTACCCCTCCCCTAAACCAACATTTTGCCCTAAGTAAGTGTTAATGTCGGCTTAGGGGATGGGGTAGGTGAGCAGTTTCCCAGAAACTTATTATGATCCGATATTATTTGGTGCCATTCTTTTTTGCGTTGATATCAACCTCGACTTTTCCTCGGTTCATAAAAAAAGGGAAAAAGAACTTGGCCAATATCACGCAGCCTTTTTGACCCCAAGCTTGGTCATGTTTTCCCTGCAGATATCAATGAATGTCAACCAACGAGTGACTGCATGCAGCAATGTACCAACACTCAGGGCAGCTACACATGTTCATGCAACGAGTATTTCACACAAGATCCTAACAACTGGAAAAATTGCACAGGTAACTTCATTCTTTTATTCAATTACTGAAGAAAACAAAGTCGTTTTAATATTTGACGATTTTCAAAACTGATATTTAGACGGAAAAACTTCAATACCAGGTTCCATGAAAATATTAACATTCAGGCAAAACGGTTTAAATTCCATATCCATATCCAGATGATTTTGTTATACTTCGTATATCGTTCACCCATCCTTTCAAACTGTGTAGTTTTATGTTTATGCACAGGTTTCCACCCAGGTTGTCGACAGGTTGTTTGTGTAATTGGTAAGCACCCATGCATTTATCAGCTGACTAATGTGTATTGTTCTCGTAGCTATAAACCCTTGTTCTGCTGATCATGGATGCTCACAGGTTTGCTTCAAAGGAGCGGGTAACCAGCCAACATGTGCTTGTTTCACAGGCTACGAACTGCAGTCTGATGGAAAGACATGCAAAGGTGAATTTTTGCTCTTTTTTTTGTTTGTTTTTTGTTTTTGTTTTTTTGTTTTTCTCTTAACTCTCTGCACGTAATTGGCCCATAACTCCAAATGAAGTGTCTGAAGTCAAAACTTAAAGTCTGTTTTCAAAAAGACAACAATTTCTCTTGATTGGTAGACTTTCCTCATTGATGGTTTCTGAATTCCTGAGTGTGAGGATGGTGTTTGAAACCAAACGTGTCTTAAATCTACCACAATGATAACACATTCCACTTTGACAAGGGGTCCGTCACTGAGCGTGTATTGAAAAACTCTGAATTTAATTTTGTAAGATCTAAAACGTTTCATTGAAATGCTGAAATCATATAGGACTATAGGGACAGCTCGGCCGGTTAGTCGTTTATATAAAGTATAAAGAGAAGAGGACCTACAATAGTACCTTGAGGAATCCGAAATGTTAGAACTGGTTTACTTGACAAACTAAAGAGTTAGTACAAGGTGACTGCCTTTCTTCACAAATTCCCTCCGGGTCTAAAGCTAGCCTTTAATGAGCTTTGCATTGATGCGTAATACGTATGTATGCATGTATGTCAAAAAGGAGGTAGTGTTTCATGACAAGAAAAACCACTGAGACTGAGAGATTTGAAAATTATGACACGCAGTGAAGTATTCAGTATTGACCACTACAGAAAATACCATAACATACCATAATGTTCCCTTTTTGTCAACCCAAAATTTTGCTTAAGCAGTGTCTTCAGTTTCTCTTGGGAGTTAAAAAGGCCCCAAGAGAAACTGAAAACAAGGCTTATGCAAAATCTTTGGGTGACAAACAAAGAGCATTATGGTATGTTATGGTATTTTCTATAGCGGTCAATTGAAAAACTTCAAGACGTTTGATCTAATGTAATAAAATACTGGTCGAACCTTTGTTATTACTTCTCAAAAGAAAGTGATTTCAGGGAAGGAGAAATCAAGCATAAAAATGAGGAGTTTTAAATTTTATTTCCAAACACTCACACTTTTATTTTCCTGGTATTTTCTTTATGATTTATTGATGAGATATTTGTGGAAATTGTAGTTATTGCCGAAAAACTATAGATCAGAATTTGTAATTAAAACAAATGTGCAAAGCGTAGCTTCGTGCATTTGCCTGACAAACTGATTGGTATTTTTCATCTCGGGCCTGCATTTCCGTTCGTCACCTGAGCTAAACAAAACTCCCTCGCTTGATGATCCCAAGATTCAAGAAAGTGTTATTCATGATTACTATTGTTTAAATTGTTTAATTTACTCATCCCTATAATATTTATAACCATTCTTTTTACGCCTTCATCTTTTCAGATATCAATGAATGTGATCCGGTAATGCCTCGTCATCGCTGCTTACAGCTTTGTGAAAATACCCCTGGGAGTTTTAACTGCTCGTGCATTACGGGATTCCAGTTGACCAAAGATGGATACGGATGTGAAGGTTTATAAGCTACAACTACCAATCATAGAATCTGATTCAGCTTAACTATAAATTTCTTCCGCACACCTGTACCACTGATCACAAAATTGAAAAGCTTATATGTGACTTCATGAGACAAATTCAGGAAAAATTGAAATTTATGAATACCTATCCCTTTCTAAGAGTCGCCAGTGTTGTTGAATCTCACGATGACGCACCTCAATGGTATGTTTTACCTTTAAAAAAAATAGGACGAAACCACATGGACGAAGGGAAAATCGTCCAAACTTCGTATAAATTTTTCTTCTTTTACTTGCTATGGCTCCTAATTAAGCCCAGTAAAATAGTTGCTTGAAAACCCGAAACAAATACACGTTTCTGAGTGGCTAGAAAGAAATACATACAGTAAAAATCCACGTCTAAGAACCTAAAATTTAAGAACCTGTTAGGCCAAAATTTTCATTTTAAACCCCCTTTTCATAAGAACCTATTTAGCCTAAAATTTTCAGTAGGTTCTTATTTTACAAAAATGAAGCCAGAGAAGAAAATACAGCCGGAAAATAAATTAAGTCTAGGTTTCAGTCAGTAAGATTCAAAATGTAACACAGCATTTTAAGGATACTACAGCGTGAAAGACATGCATGCTAGTAGTTTGGAAAGATAAAATTACTGCATGGTTATCATCTAAACTGTATTCTATATAATTATTTAATACAGCAACATATTCCATATCACATATGCCCTGTAGTGGTTATCTGTGCTGATCGCTGGTGCCCCCGCCAAATTAAGAACCTATTTCAGAACCTAAGTAGCCTAAAATCGCACTAAATACCTTTTCTATAAGAACCTATTTAGGCTAAGTTGGAAAAATCTAGGTTGTTATACGTGGGTTTTTACTGTGTATGTATACCATCAAAGGTTGTGATATTTTATGGTAAATCGCTTAATTCGCTTTGTTATTTTATAGACGTTAACGAGTGCTTGTTTGAGGAGTTATACACCTGTGTTGACGAGTTTCAAAGGTGCGTTAACACTCTGGGCTCATACAAGTGTGAATGTGACCAAGGACTGTATTTCATTGATGGAAAATGCAGAGGTAAGAAAAATTTCACTCCACTTCGCATTTATTTTCGTTTTTCATTTCATTTCTGGCTTGAGTGGCAGTGTAGGTGACCACGGCGGACTCCAATCTCTCGATGACTTCCACTGTAACCTCTTACAGTGTTTACAAATGTAGTTTCAAAAAAGGGAAGGGTTGTTTTGACTTTGCAATTCCCACTTTTGTGATTGGCTAAAAGACTTCATGCCACTTGTGATCATTACATGCTCAGTCACGTGCCACTCGAGTGCACCTTCTTGCCTTTAGCACCCATTACATACCCAACACTATTCAATGGTTAATGTGATTCTCTGCGCGTAATGTTTACTGGCGATATGTCTGGAATCTACGAAGAACTCGACGAAATTGCTTGTGGTAATAAAATTCAAAGGACACTTTACTGTTTTGTTTTTTTAGGTTTAAATAGAAACGAAACCGCTCCAACTCCTACTATTCCCCCGGCGCGTGTTCCGTCACTAGAGGAAGAGAAAGAAGCTGTAAAATTCTCAATTCCACTTACTACAGACCAAGTAAGTGAGTGAAGAATTAAGGTTCTCCAGCCCTCCAACAAACCGCCTTATCCCCGATCACGTGTAAATTTGTAAACGTCAGGTGTTTAAGTAGCCTGGGAAAACAGTCGACATTTCTCGACGTCACCAATGGTTTCCCCGCGAAATGACCTCTGCGAAACTGGAGCAGAAATTCCATACTGATGAGGTGTCACTGCCCTGGTCTGGGTAGTGTTTCTGGTCGGTTTAAAACTTATTTCTGTTTGAAAACGATGTTATAATTATACAGCAGACGTCGGCCAGTTAATGTGTAATGCTCTAGCAAATGCTGCAAGACACAAATGAGCCAGTTACGATTGGTTTTTCTCCTTATTTAAGCCTTTACTGAAGCCCAGAATCTCATAAGGGGTTGAACTCTTATGAGTTTCTGTGAAGTCTCAATAGCTCCCCACAGTTCCTTAAAAACGTTAGTCGAGAGAACTTTTTTTGAGAATAAAAGCATTTCCCTCAGGTGATCATTTCATTCTTTCATTTATTCTCATAACCTTTCCTCTTGATAATGTATTTGCATCCTTTGAAAAAAATTGTTGTTGGTCAGTCAAGGGTAAATGACTGATCTTAAGACGTAAAACGTAGCTATACAAACTACTCCTGAAAGCCGCTCTTTTTCTACTCGATAATGGTGAAGCCGAGCAAATTAATCATTGTTTGCCAAGCAATCACGATTTTTAGAGATGAGAAACAGTTTAGTTTTGGAGAAGAATATATATCTAAGAAGAAGAGGACACTACACCATTTCCATTTATGTTTTACTTTGTTAATTACCTAAAGCGTACAACGGACGGCTTCATTTTTTGACTTTTGTTAATTATTTGACAGTATGAATGGGACTTCCAAACCGACAAGTCTTTCAAGGAAAAAGTTGCTTCTGTTACGACCAGCTACTGTACTAGGAACAGAAGAAAATGTGCGCTGAAGGAGGCAAAACGAAAAAGGTAATTATCAAATGCGAAGCAGTAAATGAGTTTTTCTAACGTATTTACACAAACCCCTCCTCTATAAAAAGTTTTTTTGGCGGGAAAATTCGAAAGTTGATACAGTGAAACCTCTACTAAGCGGACACCTTCGGGACCTTCCCAAGTGTCTGCTTAATAGAGGGTGTCTGCTTAATAGAGTTTTGTAAAAATTGCGCAATGTTTGTTAAGTTCCATTTTGCTGAGGAAACTAAGGAAGCTAAGGAAGCTATACTGTACTTTGCGCAAGACTTTTAGGTGAACTTTGATCGCGGATGACAATTATACTGCCACATATTGGTCTAATATACAGTTTACTGACAGCTAAATGTATTGATTTACCTTTATTAATCGACTACAGTACGTATTTCAAGGAAGTAATCCAATACTACTATTGTCAATTCAGTCCGGTGTCCGCTTAATAGAGGTTTTTACCAATAGAAATTAGCCACTACGATTTATTTTAGTGTCCGCGTCCGCTTAATAGAAGTGTTCGCTGGTTAGGGGTTCGTTATAAAGGGAAATATAAGACGTTAATTTCAGGAGCTAGAGGTTTCGCTGTATGTGTTTTCTACCTCCTACTTATAGTCAGGGGCAGGAGCTCATATGAGCTCTTGTCAAGGTCGCTATTAGAGACTATTGAGATTGAACAATTACCCACTCTTTTGTATGACCAGACGCGCCCTCCCTTTCGACTTCTATACCGCTGACCAAGTCAACCTTTTGCCTGATTACCCAAGCAACGCGTCTGGCTCCCTCCAGGTGGCTTTTTACGTCTTACAGCCGCTGGGACTTTTCATCGGAAATACCTCCGTATTACCTCGAGACACGCTCGTCGACATTGTTAAAACACACGAATCCGAGATCGAGGCAACCATCGGCGCCAACATTTCACGCGTGGAAACTTTGTTTCAATCTCCTTCGACACCAACAACAAAACAAACGACAACAATGATACCAACGGAAGTAAAAGAGAGCGATGAAGCGAGCAAGTGGATTGCAATTGGTGTTGGAATTGGAGTGTTTGTTACCATTTTGATTTTGTTGGTAATTTTATGGTAAGTTGCTTAACAATCGACTAGTAATTCCCCGAGTACCCTATTCATTTAGGGCGCTTACTAGCTGATCAGGCCAGTCCACTCGTAAGGAGAATTCGATAGATTAATGACGACTTTTCAGCCATTTATGTTTATACCTAATTGATAATCACGGCAGTAATGGGTTTACTAGGAGCTCGAGAACGAGAAACTTCAAGGTGTTTCGATACAGTTTTTCAGAGGCCATACCGATATTTTTCAATCGCTTCAAAAGTGGTTTTACCCTTGTCTGATCGCTATAAAATTTTCGCCAGTGATTGACTATAGGCTGAAATTAATAGCAAGAAATGTCTCACCCATGAAGGAGCCTCCAACCAACCAACCTACGCAACTGATATTAATATTATAAAGGAAAATAAAGGGAGATGTTAAATTAATGTGACTGTGTGATACAGTTAAGCCTTAATGTGTTGCTTGTGATGGACTGTGTGACTGCGAGATGCGGTTCGCAAGTCCAACCCACAAAAATGACCCTTGCTCACCAACGAGTCCTCAGTAGCTCAGAGGTTAGAGCATCCGATCTAGAACACGGACGGTCGTGGGTTCGAATCCCATCTGGGGCTCAGATTTTTTCTGTGTCCTCTTATGTTTGATTCTTTACATCTCCCTTTATTTTCCTTTATAATATTAATATCAGTTGCATAACCCTAGTAAGGAGTAATAAATTCTGTATGTTTGGATTCGACTAAAACGAAAACATACTTCAAACCTTAAATTTTCAATAGCCGTAATAGATTATGTAATAAAAACATTATAAATGACTTAAATTATTCTTAAGTAGCGTCAGAATGCTGCTTAATATCAAATTTCGATGCTAGGAAATTTTGGTGCATTTTCGTTCTTGCGATGTTGGAAACTAACCCGTTTTCTCGCCACCTGTCTATAAGTGCAACTTCATTAAAAATTTGGATTTGTAACGATTTTTGGTTTATCTGAAACGACTCTAACGAATTTTTTTTAAATCTCTTCACATAATCTTCATAATGTATATAATAATGTCTGAAACTTTCATGATCATTAAAATTGATTCACTGCAACACCTTGAAATTACAAGACGAACCTATTCTACGAACCTGTCAAAAATCCGCGCTACAACATTTACTGTTTTGACGTTATGCTAATTTTCCAAATTAATGCGGACCATACATATCTCCATGACTAGTAAATTTCAGTGTGAGTATTGTCAATGTTTTACATTCAAAAGATGCGATAAATTCAAACTATAAGTGTACTAGTCCTGGAGATATATATCGTGCGCATTATTTTTGAAAAATTAGCATAACGTCAATGAAGTTGCATTTATATAGGTGGTGAGAAAACGGGTTGGTTTCCAAGATCGCAAGAAAGAAAATACACGAAAATTTCCTAGCATCAAAATATGATATTAAGCAGCATTCTGACACTACTTAAACGAAGTGTCAGAATAATTTGCGTCATTTATAACGTTTTTGTTAAATACTCTATCATTGCTATTGAAAATTTAAGGTTTGAAATAAATTTTCGTTTTATTCGAATTCAAACATACAGAGTTTTTTTACTTCTCACGGAGACCGAACACCAAACTTTAAGTTCCTAGCGTTGGATTTTCAGTAGCTGATCGCGCAAAATTCGGCTTTTATCAATTTCAAACTTTTTTGTTTATTGTTGTCATAGTAATATCGATTTTACTTAAAAGTACATTTTCTCAAATTTCAATTTATAGCCAATTACTGGGGAAAATTTTATGGCGATCGGACAAGGAAAAAACCACTTTTAAGGCGATTGAAAAATATCGGTATGGCCTCGAAAAAACTGTATCGAAACACCTTAAATCAATGCAGTTCAATTTTCTCTGAGGCCAGTTGGCTTGATTGGCTGAATTGGATAGGTTACCATCATCATCATCTTCATCATCATCATCAACAACATCATCAACAACAACAGCCATTAACAATGGCTACTTCATCATTATCATATCATCGTGATTCATCTCTGTAACATCATTATTAAGTCCTTTCCTTTCTGTTTATTCTTAGGTTAAGGAAAAGGACTGAGAAGGAGGTAACTTTACCCCACGAAACGTTGGGCATGGAAACTGTCGGCGATAAAGCAAACATGGGATTTGACAACGCTATTTACACTCCAGCATTCACAGCATAGATTAGAACCCCCGGAACTGACGGCTCGCAATTTTTATTAAGCATCGGTGGTATCATTGCCTTAATTTTGATTGGCTATACAAACAAGCAATTTCAACTAACTAATGCTTTTACTGTTTTTCTCAGCTCTTATTTTTATGAATTAATGTAGAAGTGACGCTAACTACAGACAATAGTTTTTCTCATGCAAAAGTGAAGTCATTTTGCAGACAATCTCCAGGTTCACACGTGCAAGAAACACGTTTGTTTTCCACATTTTCCGAGGATGTTTTTACGGATTGTTTTTTCAAAACGGGTCTAAGGTTCAGTCAAAAGTTAGGTTTTAAGTTTTGAAACATATTTTACAGTGGAAACGTTTGGAAGTACTGCTCAGCAATTTCAGGTTGTAAGCTTACCACTAGAGTTTCTTACATGTCGACGTAGGGTGTTTAGATTATTGAACGCGCCATAGGTTTCGCTAGCGTGCGGAAACAGCCGTTCCTCCTCCCTCCTCGGCGTTAGGGACATTTCGTGAAGAGGAACGTCTGCGACTCAGCGACAGAAATTCGTCAACGCTGGGAGATTTTAAAAAAAGTTAGCCGGGGAATTCAAGGCCAGTCAGAACTGAGGTATTTAAATGAACCGTAACAAAACTGATACCATACCCAATTCTCTTTTTGCAACCATAAACACTCGCGCATGCGTGCAAGGGGTGCTTGAAAACGACGACAACACTCACAGTAGTCAGCAGATTATCTGTCAAGAATACTTACGCCAGAACGTTTATAATTTGTAAGTTCCAAGTAAATCGTGCATTTGTGCATGAGTTATGCCTTTCAGAAGGTTTGCCTGAACAGTTAACATACGTAATACAAGCATGAGTTGGCTGGTCATTCTGTTGTGGTGTTGTAAGTGACTAAAATAAATGAAAGCTAAAGTTTTGGGCTGTTCTTATTTATTGTCAAATTTATAGTTTCTAACTACAATACACATAAATGACCGAGTTCAGTGCCACGTAGCTGGCCTCGAACGCTGACGAACTTGCAGGGGTTGAGTTAATTCCCGCTTGACACTTAAGGTGAAAACATGCAGCAGTCCCGTTACTTGTTTGGGTACGTTAACTTACATTCATTTTACAGTGAAACCTGTATTAAGCGGACACGCTCGGGGAATGGGGAATGCTGTAGTGTTCGCTTCATACAGGATGTCCGCCTAGTACAGGTTTCAATAGGTAACGTCATATGAGGTGTTTTAACACCTCATATAACTGTTCATTTTGCATTAATTTCTTTATTTAAGTGAACCAGTTGACCAAAGTACCATAAACATAGATTGCAACTCAAATTTGACGAAATCAGATGAGTGAAACAAGCTCTATACAAACAAAACGAAATAGAAAACATAACTGTACTGTGAAACTAATCAAATAAGTTCGTCAATTCACGTTTTTTAAGGTAAAAAATGAAAATTTGAGGGAGGCAGTCTTTTGCATTCCCGGTGACTGGCATGTTGGGTGGTGGAATTTAATTACTCGTGTCCGTTTAATACAGGTTGGAAACGATAGAAATGACTATTTCAGGTCCTTTTTAGGTGTTCTCGTCCGCTTAATCAAGGTGCCATTTAAAGTAAATAAGGGAAATAAATTTGGGGACTTCGGCTACTGTCCGCTTAATAGAGGGTGTTCGCTTAATACGGTGTCCGCTTAATACAGGTTTCACTGTTGTTTTTTTTTTTTGTTATTATTTTTGTTATTATTATTCCATTATTATTAAGAGAATCCTTTTTCGATGCAAGGCGGCCCAAGCTCGGTGCATAAATTACCCCTAGTTTCGATCAGAAATGTTTTGCATATTACGAACAATTTAAAGACTTTGTATGAGAAATTCAATATAGTTGTTAAACCGCAGAAATATAGACATAATATTGAAATAAATTGTACTTACGTAAACTTGGGTCTGTTGTTGCCTTTTCTGAGTAACCTGGGCTCAATTCATGGCCATTTTATACGGTTTTGCTACTCGTTGTCTGTTCGGTGTTGTTTTCCTACACAAAACGAAGCAAGGCAGTTGACTCTGTTCAGTCTCAACTCGCAAATCTCTCCCGCATCAAAGAACCGTGCACCGATTCACCATGAAAGCGCCAAATCCTTAAGATCAGGTCAGTCTCTTATCTCTTCCCCATTTTATATACGCTCATCCAATTGGATAATTCCAAACACCGCTGAAGCGCAATCAGTAGACTATCTGAGGGTAGGAAGATCCACGTTTTTTCATGCAATATTGATTACCCGGTTCCCCTGAGTCCATGTTCGAGTTCACCACACAACATTTAGTCATCGAGGTTCCTGAGCGCACGTCAGATTGCTCAGAACCAAAAACTATAAAAAAAATTTCCCTCAAAAACACATCGAAATATGACGAGGGGAGGCTAAGGGACTGGCCTTAAGGATTTGCCGCTTTTATGGCGAATCGGTGCGCGGTTCTTTGATACGGGAAAGATTTGTGAGTTGAGACTGCACTGAATCACTTGGCATGCTTCGCTGGAAAACAACACCGTACAAACAACGAGCGGCACAACCGTATAAAATGGCCACGAATTGAGCCCAGGTTACACAGAAAAAACAACGACAGACCCACGTTTACGTAAGTACAATTTATTTCTATATTTGATATGTCCATATTTCTACGGTTTAACAACTATATTTAATTTCTCATACAAAGTCTTTAAATCGTTCGTAATAGCAAAACAGTATCGAAACTCGCGGTAATTTATGCACCGAGCTCGGGCCGTCTGTGCATCGACAAAGGATTCTCTTCATATTCATCTCAAATGAATATGAGCACTATTGTATTACGGCTGCATAGTGCACAGGGCGGTACAGATTCCTGCAGAAATGCAGTACCGCGTTTCTAAACCGAGAATACATAAAAGGTTAAAATTAAACTTTATTTGTTTGTTATGAACGGCAATGTACTTGTCAGTCAGATTACTTCCAAGCAATGTAAAATATATGAATGTTTTAAAGACATTCCAATGGTGTTATTGAGATGCATATCATTGACATGGTAATTGCGCAAATGAAACGACGGATGATTAAAATGAACGTTTCTTCGCAAATAGGTTCTTCTAAAGATAATATTGAATTCCCGGAAATAAAATGAATTTCTATTTTTTGTTAATGAAGGGCAAAAGGTGTATTATAGACAGCAAATAGCAGATTACGCTTGGCTAGATACCACCCCCCTACAATATTGTGTTTCTTTGAATATTGTTACTTTCTTCTCCGCATAGATTTGCCTGCGAGGTACATGGTAGCTGATAATTTAGGCTAAAGAAAAAAGTAAGTAGTAAAACGTAAATCACGAATTCAAGCTATGTTTATCTTTTGATCGTGGCCTATAATCGTACCCTTACGTATTAAAACTTTCTGCACATACATTTGCTTCGCCGAGCGTTTATCTGTATTTTTCATAGTTAATAGATTGGAATGGTTATGAAACCCGTCAGACTCCTTTGTTGTATGTTTTTGTGGACTTAAAGGTGTACAACGTTCAATAGAATTCCTGGCGTTTTGATCTTATTGACCAATGAAAACGTCCTATTAATTTATTCCGTCACAATTTGCCAACAGAAAACGATGGATTTTGCACCTTCACGAAGCTTCCAACATAGACGACACTGTGTTTTTATATTTATTTTGATGGTTGTCGCCTTTCATAACCAGTCTCCTCTAATAACTATGGTATTTTTGGATTCTCCTAGAGTTTTATCCAGTTTGCTGTATTCGTTTCGCTGTGTGGAAGCTTCGTTGGTTTCCATATCTGGGGCAGTTCTATTTCTACTTGCATAACATGTTTGTCCGAATTTCTTTTTCAACTTGAAAAAGCCTTGTTGGAAAGGGAGCGATGGTGGCCGAGATTATATCGCTTGCGAGCTACCTTGTGTATTTTAATAAATGGAGAGAGAATTTGGGCATATTTCATGAAATAGCCCGCGTAGCAGGCGCTAGGAAGTAGTGGGCGCAGAAAAAAACGGGCGTCCATTACGCGCGCCCGTTCTTTCTTGCGCCCATTACTTCCAAGCGCCTGCAGGCTATTCATGAAAGTTCGAGGAAGCTTTAATGGAAAACAACTAGCAGGGACGCTTTTTGTTAAAAGGTCGGCAACGATTCAAGTCGGTAAATAAGTAGAAATAGGCACTGCACTTTACGGTTAAATGCAAATTTTGGCAGAGGCCTATTTGTTTGCATCAACGTTGAGAACTTCAACACGAAAAGCTTTGTCTGCTGTACGGCAAAATTCTTGCTTAACCTGGGTGTGCCAGTTTACAGGGAACTGGACAAACTAAGTTTTTTTTACAGGAGCAGGTATCGGCTCTTATAGGAAGCTATAGGCACACCACATGCATAAGTAGCCTGCGAACAAGCTCTCCTATTTGGGCAAGCGAAGCGAGACTCGCGAGAATGCGAGACTCGTTTAACTCGCCCAAATAGGAGAGCTTGCTCGGAGGCTAATGCATAAGAAATTCAGTCTGCTGTATACTCGTCAATCGATTTTTATTCGTTTCAAATCAATATTTTATACGTCAGCTGATACACGGTGCTGTTTTAGCCGAAACGATGGAACAAAAAACTTTTATCTTCACTGTAAGACAAAGGTTTATGGAATGGTTCGTTTCTCCAAATTTCTGGTTGAATTGTCGCAACTATTTTCAGTTTTCCATTGTTTCAGTTGATGGTCATACAGCTTATTTGCAAGTATAAAGTTTAATTTCGTAGCATTTACCATAACCACATCACTACCCCGCAAGAAAGAACTTACTAAGTTTCTAAGAACCAGTTAGGCTAAAATTTGTCGGTTAGACCCCCTCTATACATTAACCTGTTTACCCGGCCTAAAGTTTGGAACAGGTTCTTATTTTAATACAAAATGATGTTTTCTCTGAAACAGATCTAGAACTTCGTGATTCATGTGATAAGTTCCTATTATTTTCTTCTCATTATATTCATTCCAAATGATTTTTACTCGCAAGCAATTTGTCTGTAAGATCAGTAGCTGAATAGCACTAGATTCTCGTAACTACAATTAATGTAATAGCTTTCTTCAAAATTACAAAATCTCATGTAGCCAAGAACCTACACCTAAATTAAATTTGTGCTAATTTGTTGTGCTAATTACTATTTTTGTAAGAACTCGTTCAGGCTAACTTGGGTAAATGTAGATTCTTAGGGCCTAGGTCAAACGTGGGTGTTGAACCTTTCGTGAGAAGAATCAACCTCTAATTTGGGTCGACCAACATGTAATTTATAACTGAAGATGGTCTGTTGCCGGTCAGACGTCGAACTTTAAGACCCGTCAGTCGAATCAATCAACCGAATCAGACCAAAGAGCTATTTTAGCCGACCATAAGTAAATTTTCCCCGAACGAAGCTAAATAATTTACAATATCATACGGTAGGAAGATCCATTTGTTTCCATACCGGGGAACGCCCTTTTTCTTCGAGCCTAACGTGCTTTTTGCCGTTGGAGTTCTAATTACGTAAAAAAACAGTCGTCTTGATGGCGGCTGGGATTTTGTCTCCTGCAATCCAGTGAACTTGTGTATTTTAATGTATGGAGAGAGAATTTGGGAATTTTCACTAAACTTCGAGGGAGCATTAAAACAACAACTCCTAACAGCAGAATAAGTAACTTGTTTGACTTTTATTCCGTCTTTCCTATCAAAATGTTTAGGATTATAACTAAATGATATTGTGTTGCTCAAATTGTTAAATCGAGGATCGTTGTATCGAGGTTCTATTTCATACATCTAATTGTAATAGACCTTGTCACGGTTTTCGACGCCATCTTGACGAAATTACTAACAGTGATTGCCGATTGTATGAGAATCTAATGCCGAATAATTTCCGTAGAACGGCTGTTCTGAAAAAAATATGATATGTAAACTAAAGCTTCACTCCTAAGGATTCTCCTGAAAAAATTTGAGGGCGTTACATGCTCTAGAAGACCTAGAACCACTTTTTAAAATTTTCTATACATTTGTCTGTAAGAAAGTCCTGGGAAAATTACAGACAAAATATATGGAAAATCTAAAGCAAGCCTCAGGAGAAATTTAAGCACAGGTACGCCCCCAAATTTTTTTAGGACAATCCTTTGCTTTGTAGCTTTAGTTTACAATTGATATTTTTTTCAGAACAGCCGTTCTACGGAAATTATTCGACAATAGATTCTCATACAAACACTGTAATTTCTCACACGTTTGCCTACTCGTCAAGATGGCGTCGAAAATCGTGACAAGGTCTATTTTGGCCGGGCTGAAGAAAATCGTTCGTTATGCAGAGGACTTCTTTATATAGAGGTTCGTTAAATCGAGATTTCACTGTACCACAGAAATTATGGCATCAAGTTACTATCAGGTGCTAAATAAGCCATCAACACCATTTATATTCTCATTGTCGTCGTCATCACAAAAAAAAAAATTCGCAAAACGAAAGTTTTATCAGTTGCATCTGATCAGCAAACATTTCTCTTTCCGCATCGTTAAATTTTCTGTCGCTGTCAAGTGTTATGCAAATCAGCCCCAGAAAGCTCAAACCCGAAAAGTCTTGTCAGAAAATTTAGCAAAACAATTTTAACAATAAACTTTTGCTACACTGACTCATTCTTCCTTAAACCTGGAGGTGGTTGTGAGACTATTTGGCAGGCCTGTAAATGTATATCCCACGTTCAGTTATTTCGACACTGTCTTATGCGCTTTTTGTGCTGACCACGCTGAATGCTAGAAACGCAAGTGGTACAAAAACGTCTAACAACGCCGGAGCTCAGGCAGTTTCAAAATGCCATAACATGTACACTTACAACAGTTTTTACGCCGGGACGAACAAAAAGATAGAAGCGCTGCTTCGTGAAGTTAAAATTGAGCTGAGCGTGATTCGAGAAGAGATTAAATACATGAAAGGAAACGAAACGAAGAAAGGTAGGTCAATTTTATTTTTTAATGTTGTTTTTTCTTTAACAAGCAGAGCTAAGCTTATGCATTTCGGTTTCGAATAATCTTCAGCGCCACCAAAGCGCTTCCTTGCAATTAATTTATATTGGTTTTGTTTCGGAAATTCAATAAATTAAAAGCACTAAATTTCTGCAATTCCTTTTTCTTATAAATGTTTAGAACGACAATATTAACAAGATGATTGCACTACAATTTCAGTGTATAAGAACTGCGCAGAACTCTACAAAGCTGGAAAACGAATCAGTGGGGTTTACACAATCAACCCTGATAATGTCGGTGCCTTCGATGTTTATTGTGACCAAAAAACAGCCGGTGGGGGATGGACAGTGTTCCAAAAGAGACTGGACGGCTCAGTTGATTTCTACCGCGGCTGGGATGACTACAAACGAGGCTTTGGAAATCTGAATGGTGAGTTCTGGCTCGGACTGGACAAGATTCACCGCCTGTCAAAAGAACGAAGCAGGCTTCGTGTTGATCTTGGAGACACGACTGGAAAAACAGCTTACGCAGACTACGACGTTTTTGGTGTTGCAAGTGAGAGAAGTAAATACAAGCTGAGTCTTGGGACATATTCGGGTAAGTTGTATCATAAAACTCTTGCTTCCCGAACACTGATCTAGTTTGATTAATAATAGTCACTGGCAACATTGATCCTATATCAGGACTACGTTTACCCTGACGATCATTTTCAACGTACCTATGAAATGACTCTTGGGTTCAAACCTTTCAAAATAATATACGTAGTGATTGACAGTAACTTTCTGTAACTTAGACAGTATAAAAGGCCAAAAATCCTGCCTGCAGATTATGATCTCAATTAAAGGACATAAAATCGATGGGGCCACTTAAAGATCTTGGCTGAGAACCACTAATATCTAGTTCACTGGCTCCTATAATTGGGGTAACTTAGTTTCTTCCTGATTTAAAATTTTAAAAAGACCTTCACGCTGAACTCAAACTCAAACGGTGGAAGCAAAAGACTTGTGAGGAACAACCTCTTACTTAAATTATTAACTGTGCTTACGCAGGCGTAATCGTAGTTACAATACCGGCTCCTCTTCTTTCTGTGATATTATTGTATTCCCCTTTCTCATAACCGTTTCTTTTGAAAATCTATAAGTTGAGTGGTGACCAAACGGCAAATTTGAAATAGTAACAATGATCTTACCAGCATGTTTATTACTGCTGTTTTATATTTTTATTATTGTATTTTCAAGTATTTTTAAAGTTCTGTTTAGAAGGGTACAGTTGCAAGGGATAAAATGAGTGAGTTGTTACTTTTCCTGCTGATTTTGAATAAAATTCGTTTTTCCATATCAAAGTACTATTTTTCTTTGCTTTAGGTACGGCTGGTGACTCGCTTTCTTATCATCGTGGCATGGCTTTTTCCACTAAAGATCGCGACAACGACCATTCTTCCAGCAACTGTGCTGTTAGCTTCGAGGGAGCCTGGTGGTTTCATGGATGCGTCTATTCTGACCTGAATGGCCGCTATCTTCACGGGGCGCACTCTAAGAAATGGCATGGTGTCCTCTGGCATCACTGGAAGGGTCCCAGCTACTCCCTCAAACGAGCTGAGATGAAAATCAAACCAGTTAACGCCTCGTAGAGCTATATCTGCTTTGCCGGATTAACTTGGCAGGCTTAATATGATACCTGAGCGCACATGTTTGAGTGTTGTGATGTAATACTTACTCTGATAACAACACTTTATCAATAAAAAGTGTTTGCTTTCAATCAAAAGTACTCTAGCATGTGTTGGGTGATGTAGCAATCATTTAGTCGCCCTTGAACAGTGGTTTTTAAAAGCTATAGACTGATTTTTTTCATTGGATAAAAATCCAAAGTACGTATTTTTTTAAATTAATTTTCATTTTCAGGTGTTAATCTTGCACAAACATTTAGCCAAATTTTGAAGAATCTTAACCGTTCGCTCTTCTCCTTTTTCACGTTCGTGTCTACAATATACCTTGCATACTGTCCCCTCCCCCCTCCCCTCCTTGATAAACCATGAATGTGGGGCTCACTGCACACAATCTTCCAATTAAAACAGGTCCAAAACTGGCAAGATATTGAATACATCCAAATACATCCGCTCACCTTCATTCATCGTTTTTATTTTTAACGCAATTCACTTGGAAAATTTGCAACAATATAGAACTCACCATTCCCTAAAATCGTATGTTTTTTTGTTCTTCAGATTTTGGCATTTTTTGCGGGAAAATTACGTCACAAAGTTTCCGCCAAATTTTTTCAGTATTATAGTATAACTAATGATGGTTTCTGAAAGAACTCAGAAGTTAGGACGTCATGCGTAAGCCTCGTAGTGTCTTGGCAAGAATTTTTGAGGATTTTTAAGAAAGAACCTCAAAGATCTGCACTAAGATCTTCATGCAAATCTTCAAGGGTGAAGATCCTCGAAAGATGTACACCAAGTAGTAGACATATTAAATTCTGCAAGCAGAATACTGCAATACTGATCGTACTACGTGAAAATTAACTCTGCAACATGACACCGAAAGAACTGAAAACAGAGCGGGATTGTAGCTATAGACAGCTGTTTCGCCCTCTTTGGGACTCGTCAGTATGGCGTACGTCACAATCACACCATGCCACGTGTCTTCTGTGGGGCAAAAGTCCAAGTGTCAAGTTGATGCCTCGCAGAGAAAATAAAGAATTGGGCAAANTTGATAAACCATGAATGTGGGGCTCACTGCACACAATCTTCCAATTAAAACAGGTCCAAAACTGGCAAGATATTGAATACATCCAAATACATCCGCTCACCTTCATTCATCGTTTTTATTTTTAACGCAATTCACTTGAAAATTTGCAACAATATAGAACTCACCATTCCCTAAAATCGTATGTTTTTTTGTTCTTCAGATTTTGGCATTTTTTGCGGGAAAATTACGTCACAAAGTTTCCGCCAAATTTTTTCAGTATTATAGTATAACTAATGATGGTTTCTGAAAGAACTCAGAAGTTAGGACGTCATGCGTAAGCCTCGTAGTGTCTTGGCAAGAATTTTTGAGGATTTTTAAGAAAGAACCTCAAAGATCTGCACTAAGATCTTCATGCAAATCTTCAAGGGTGAAGATCCTCGAAAGATGTACACCAAGTAGTAGACATATTAAATTCTGCAAGCAGAATACTGCAATACTGATCGTACTACGTGAAAATTAACTCTGCAACATGACACCGAAAGAACTGAAAACAGAGCGGGATTGTAGCTATAGACAGCTGTTTCGCCCTCTTTGGGACTCGTCAGTATGGCGTACGTCACAATCACACCATGCCACGTGTCTTCTGTGGGGCAAAAGTCCAAGTGTCAAGTTGATGCCTCGCAGAGAAAATAAAGAATTGGGCAAATTCAACCTCTAAAACATGGACAGAACCGTGCAAGAACCATGCAAGAGCTTTCTATGGTTGTTACGCAATACTGACGAGACACCAAGAGGGCGAAACAGCTATCTATGGCTACAATCCTGCTCTGTTTTGAGTTTTTTCGGTGTCGTGTTGATGTCTTGCAGAGTTAATTTTCACGTAGTACGATCAGCATTGCAGTATTCTGCAGCAGAATTTAATATGTCTACTTTTCAGTTTTGCTGATCAGGTCTTTATAGATCCAACGTTCTTCGGCATACTCGTTTGCGGTTTTTTGCAGTCCTTTGTGGTTAATGTTTGTACCAAGTAGTAGAAAAGTAGTACACTTACTCGGTTGTTCAGTTGGGAGGAACACTTCAAAATACAATTTCTTGGCACGCACAGAGATTAATACTTCGGTATCTTTTTGAACAGGCAACACTGTTCTTTTAAATACAGTCGACTCCCGATAACTTGAACCTTCAAGGGAAATCGAAAAAAGGTTCTGTATCGGGAGTTCGAAGAAAAAAGCCGAGAGTAAGGTAAAAAACATGCAGTTTTTACTCCACAGTGAACATTTTAATCACATTTAATTGTAGAAATGTCAAGTGAAAATTAAAAGATACTTTTAGATTATAAATCAGAACGTAACGTAGCAAAACATAGCCTACATAGAGCATGCGCTTTACTGTTTTGAGAAGAAAAGCTGCTTCACTCCCCGCGTTAGCCTGTGACAATCAACATTAGAGACTCCACTAATATACTATACTCCTACAACACGTCAATAGGAAATCCAAAATTCAATGTTTCGGACGCCACTAGACGGCTTTTTTCCCGACTTTTTAAGGGCTCAAAACATGGTTCGAGTTATCGAGGGTAAAATTAAATAGAAAATGACCTGAGGGGAAACGAAAATTTGAGTTAGCGGAGCTTTCGAGTTATCGAGGGTTCGAGTTACCGAGGGTAAAATTACAGTGAATGTATGACGGAAATCCACGGGAAATCGATTTTGGTTCGAATTAGCGCGAGGTTCGAGTTAGCGAGGGTTCGAGTTATCGGGAGTCGACTGTATGGTCAAATAGGGCAGAATTTTAAAAATTTCAACCAATCAACGTCAAGGTCATCCGGTAATGCCCGCAGTCCTATTAGTCAGCAGAATGTCTTTAAAATCATAAGCCGGCGATTTTCCAGCGGTAAAATTTAAAAATGGCGGACGGAATCAGAAGAGGCCGAAGAAGATTCAGTAGGTTATTAGGCAGTTTGAACGTCAGAGAAGAGGTAAAATAGTCTTTCAGAGAGAAAGAGAAATAGAAATATTTGATCAATCATGTTAAGTGCATTTTATTGCATTTCAGGCAAACGAATGAGCTTAAAACTGCTTACAGACCCATGTGCCCATGTCATGTCACCCTGACATCAAGATCCCGCGAAAAAGAAAGTAAGCTCAAGGTTAAAAAAGCTTAGGCCCTGTTCGCGCTGAGCAAAATTGTGTTTGTTTTGCAAAAAAATCTGTCAACAGGGAGACATTTCCAGTGCAAACGATTTTTCACCAGCCAAAATTTTTTCAACTGTCACCATAGTTCAAGGCAGTTGTGTAGGAGCTGCTTGTAAGTTCTCCCCTGATGGGTCGCAGAAAACAATGACACGTTATTTTTTCAATTGTTTCAGTATTGTTTGGGGTCAGGGTTAGGCACCATTGGTGACTTCTCTTCTGAACCGCTGCTACATGACAAAAATGCCGTCAAGAAAATTTTCTTTGGAGGTCTACAATTTTTTGTCAGGTGACAAACGCCTCTGTTCCTTAACAGCTATTCTTCACCATGTTATGCAATAAGGTTCTTTGTCCCAAACTTTAAAAAACACGCAGCCATTTTCTTAAAGCCTTGCTAATATGACAACGGGGAATTTTGCCAAAAAATGTGTTTTGAAGTTAGTCGAGACATTTTTAGGCATTAGTAAGTTTCAATGTGGTGGGGAAAGTATTTGGGAAAGCTTTTAGGATCTTTGGGAGGGGGACATGGGGTAATACCCTATACCGTAAGAAAATTTGGCAAAATACCAAAATACTGTGTCGAAAGTCGACAACATACCAATAACTCATTCATGACTGGTCATGCTTACTTCAAGTTGTATCCAGCACGCATGTTTGTTTACCTCAAGCATTTATGCACCAGCAATCAACCTCAGCCATTACAGGGAAACGTATGTGAGAAGACCTCGAATTGATCGGTACAACATTAAGCGCTGAGGCAGAATGACCTTTGATATTTAATGTTGTTCAACATAAGCTGTATTAACTTTCTAAACTTTTTTTCTCTGTGTGCAGGGCAGTATTTCTGTTGGCATGGATGCCACAAATGTTTTTGATAGTTATGAAGATTCTTTTGAAGGAAGGTGAGATTTTTGGCTGATCTTTGATCAGAAGCTTTGAAGCGTAAGAAACATGTCTGTAAATGCCTGAAATAGTGCTGGTTTTAAATAAGTTCTCACCTTTGAATTAGCACCCCCTTGCTACAGTACCAAAACTGGCACTATTTCAGGCATTTACAGTGATGTCTCTTAATCCATTACTTATCAGTGTGTGTGCCCTTTGTATAAAATGCCCTTCACCTCATCCCNGGCAGAATGACCTTTGATATTTAATGTTGTTCAACATAAGCTGTATTAACTTTCTAAACTTTTTTTCTCTGTGTGCAGGGCAGTATTTCTGTTGGCATGGATGCCACAAATGTTTTTGATAGTTATGAAGATTCTTTTGAAGGAAGGTGAGATTTTTGGCTGATCTTTGATCAGAAGCTTTGAAGCGTAAGAAACATGTCTGTAAATGCCTGAAATAGTGCTGGTTTTAAATAAGTTCTCACCTTTGAATTAGCACCCCCTTGCTACAGTACCAAAACTGGCACTATTTCAGGCATTTACAGTGATGTCTCTTAATCCATTACTTATCAGTGTGTGTGCCCTTTGTATAAAATGCCCTTCACCTCATCCCTCCATACACAGTACTGACACAATCACAAAAGAATGACCCATTTGAAGAAATCACGCTGTTGGGTGTAAAACACTCATCTCTTTAGTAGTGCTTGAGGATGGCAGCGTGACTTATTGATGAAATATGGATGCTGCAAATTAATTGTCAGTTTATGTACCACTTTTTGTTCACTTGACAATAATTGTTAATCATTATTGAATGAGGCTGAGTGTCATCTGAAGAAACACAGAGATCGAGGAGGGTGTTATCCCCTTAGGTCATAGGCCGAGGTGGATTTATAACACCCTCCGAGTTCTCCATAACTCTTCAGATGATATGAAAACTGCATTCAATGTTTTATTATTCATTTAAAATAATTCCTAAATTTCAAACGAGCTAAGACATGCTTTCCCCCTTCAATGTTGAGTTTAATAGTAGATGTTTATCAGGAAGTCTAGGAGATAAAGGGTTGTTCAGGTGTGCAAATATTCTCCAAATAGCAGATGTTGTCCGGCGAGTTGTATTCTTACTGTTGTTGCTATCTTTTTAAACAATTCATCGCCTTTTTCTTCATTGTGAAATGAGTAAAGTATTAATGTTACGCGATTTTTCACCCCCACCAAAACATTTCAGACTGGTCACCAGCTCTTATCGGTTAAGGGTTCAATAATCTGGCAATTTTGCTGCACGATTGACATCATTTTTCTCATATCACAAAATTCTTGCAAAGTTGGTCGATAGTTGCTGGTTCTGATGAATTATGGGTGGCATTTTAGCCAATCAGAAATGGCAAAATATTTTGAATGAATAGTTATATTAATTTGCTGTCTTTTTCTTAAACAGAGTTTATCTTTGATATAATGTTTAAAACTCAACTGGAAAAACAAGCTGAAAGTAACACTGGTTTTCTTACCTTGTAGAATTTTTAAAATTTTGGCTCATTTCATTTCTGTAAGAGTACCAACTCAATAGGAAATTAAAGGTGCTACACAAAATTGTCATGGCTGTCTAGTAATTCTTTTTGTTAATAATGCCAATTACACTTTGAACCTTATTCACTATAGAACTTGAGTCCATGTGCACATTGTAATCACTTTTGAAAGACAAAATCACAGTTTCATGCAGGGTTTGCAAATTTTATTGATGAGTGGAGTCAGTGTGACTTCTGCTTCATTTTGGAGTATTTGGAGTCAAGTATCACAATGAAAAAAGCTATTTTCAGACTTTCCAGCACATGGTCCTGGCATGTATACACTATCGTGAAGGATACACCGACGAGGTAGCTGTGGCAGTCCGCTGACCTGGAAAGCTCAAATCCATGATGGCGGTCATCGAGTAAACATTTTTTGTTTGACATGAACCATGTCAAACAAAACAAGTCATGTCTCCCAGACCCAAGCATTATTTCAAAAGATACAAACAAGAATGAACTTTGAACTGTTGGGCCAATAAGTTTTCAAAAGGCACAATTGCAATCCATTTCAATCTTCTTCAAGTTTGTCTGTCTTTGACTCATTTTGTATTGGCTGTGTTATTTATATTTTCTTTTCATGTTTTGACTGTTTATGTTTATCTTTCACTCAGTTTAATGGCAGTTAATTACCACTGTTTGAAGTTTGTTAAATCATGACGCAGTTCCATTAATACTGTTGTTCATTTCTGGGAAACTTTCATAGAAAAGTTATGGTTGCAAGAGACAGGAAACAAACAAACTAATGTCCTCCTTGTTACCTGGTACTTTATTTTCATTGCATTACATTCGTGATTGTGAATAGTAATAGTTGGAAGTGGAAGATCGACACAAAATAAGACGGGAAAAAGGAAAGTAGATTACCAAAGTATTGAGAAGGAAGTCAGGGATGGTACAGTAGGTGGGTACATGTAGCTGCTGTTCTAAAGATGTATTCAAACAATTTTAACCGTTTCTGATATCTACAAAACAAGAGGATGGTTTTTAAAGAAGTCAAGAGAGGTACAAGGACATTTCCTTTTAAATTTCTTCCAGGTGTCTCATAGGTCAAAGGGCCAAAAAAACAGTTTATGACCACAATGTTGAGAAGAAAACTGTATGTCAGAAAGCTTGGATATTTAGCCATGGAATGGCTTATGGAAGGTATGTAACTCTAGTCACGACAGACATTGCCCTATATATCTGAAAGTTGCGCTTTTTAAAGAAAATAAATTGCACTGCAAAAGTGGGAAGTTTTTCGTAGGTTATAAAGCTATATTACAATTATACTAGGCAACTATCAGCATGGGAAGAGAGATGTAATGGCTCCTACAGTGGAGATCTTCCCAGATATAAAAGATATGTACAGTAATGTAGGATATTAAACTATCACGACAATTGCCAATAATTTACAAGGCACTTACTCAGTTGCACGCAAATTGACTTGGCGACTGGATATGAGATAGACATTAGCATTAAAAAAGTAAGGATAGTGTATGAAACAACAAGAAAAATAAGTGAGGTCAGATTTACAAAATACTATCAGTAATTAGATTGTGACTTTCAACCTAATAAAGGAGTATTTTTCCCCCTCTCGTCATGCGTTCATGGGTCTAAATAGGTATCACCATTGGAGAAACCAGTACGAAAAAAGGGGAATGACTTGCAGTATTCACTTGCAACAAGGGATGTCCTACTCGTCTAGAAGAAAAATGGAAGCTGAACCCTGGTTCGAAGAATTTGTGACATCATTCTCCAATAGGATGCCAGATGTGAAAAGGTGGGAGCTTCCTGCATGTATGACAATCGCACAGGTGTATGAAATGTATTGTGGATCAACTGACAACCCCTTAAACCAGACACACTTCAGGCACATGTGGAAAGAGGGTTTTAAGGATTATTCCAAAGGTACAGTAAAAACAGAGACGCAGTCAACTTAATACTTTAGAGAATGCACTGTGACAATATGCTGGGAGGGTTTTCGTGGTAAAGGTGTCCAGAACCTTTTACCCTTTTTTCGTGGGCTTACCAGCCTCTTGCAAGCATCCATAATTCGCTAGTACGCTCTATGCCGTTTACTAAATCATCATTTTTATTTATACAGATGTTTAGCCGAATTGTGGAAGCATTGAGGAGGACAGATGCACTCACTCTAGTTCAACTACGAAAGGTCATACACAATTCCTATATGCCATCTCCGTCTACCATAATTTATATAGAGAAAATAAATTCAACATAAAATCATGGCTTCGTCCTTACACAAACACCTTAAAACATCACAGCCATCCACATGCATTAAGGTTCAAATTAAATGAAGAGGGTCAAGTGGAGATGACATATAGTAATTGGGCAATGGCTTCCAAAAAAGACTGGCTCCCAAAGGAGGGCCAACTTTTGTGATTCTGGAAGACCTACCAGATGGCACACCATCACTACAAAGGCCAGACAATTCGCGGTGTCCGCCAACGGAGATGATGGAGAGATGCCTTAAGCACGAATGAACCCAGACAAATTGGCCTGGTGGAAAAAATTTGGCGAGGGTGAAAAAGGGAGACAGAGGCAGTGGGAAGAAATGACATATGAAGAATATGAAGAAGCTGGATGTTATTTTGATCTGATGGAGGAGAGCCATTCAAGCCCTTCTTTGAAAAATCGAGTGGAAAAGCAAGATGAAGAATACAAAAAGAGGGAAAAGGAACTGAAAGAATTGATTGACTAAAAGAACAACTTTCCACTGGTAAGTAACTATTTTTTAAATTCAAAATTGATACACTCAAAAACATAGCTGTTAAAATTGAACTTGGATATGGTCCCTTGGAATTCAACTCAGTTGGGTTCACCTACTTTTGACAAAGTTAGTAGGTAGGAATGAATAATCCCAATACATTGTAAATACTGAATTGAATTAATTGACAGCAGGCACGCATTCAGGTAGCAGTTGTAAGCATAAGCAAATGTGCGAGAGGCTTAACTTGTTTTTAAACAGGTTCTACATGTTTAAAGTTTATTTTTTTGTCTATGGTGCTGGACGATGGCTCAATCAAAGAATTAGATGGTTACTCGCACTGGTTTCTCTACCTTCGTAGCGTAGCGTCCGGCCTGGAGAAACCTCTGCTTGCAGGGTATTGCATGTGCCACTTTAAAAATAAAAAGATTCAGTTAACATAATTTGCATAAGGTTTGAAAGCAAAAGTCAGTAGGTATTATTGGTTGACATGGCATTTAAAATAGCTTCCATTATTACTCTTGCTGTCATGCCAAAGCCGACTTTGTTATTGATACAATGTCATTTAAAATAGTAAAAGGTTTTTTGATGTTTTTGTTGTTAATTTCATTTCAGGCAGCATTTGAAGCCGAAATGGTCCCATGCTAACTCTGCGAGTATTCTCAAACCTTATACAGAGAAGGTAGTCTATTGTCTCCTTACTGTCAACAGTTTGTGGGGCTGTTTACATGGAGGGAGGAAGATGCTAGTATCAAGAGGATCTATATGTTTTCTGTATTATTTTGGTTTACATGCAAAGGGTTGTACTTGTCCCTAGTGCTGGGATCTTCCTTGTACTAGGATCTTCTTACAATGTAGCTGAGAGGTAGAAAGATCCTAAATCCTAGTACTAGGGACAAAGCAGACAAAATTGGCGAGCGGCCATTCACTGGCTAATCACCGCAATAAAGGCTGACCATTTTGTTTGGCGTTACCACAAGCTAATTATTGTGATAATTCTGCTGAAAGGTAGTTGTTTATGCCAGTAAAAAGAGCAGACGGACTCAAGTTGCATTTTTGTTTTTGTGGTTCCTCCTGAAACCTTCTCTACTTGGGCACAACGTGGACCGAAATTTCTGCATGTAAACCCAACATAAAGTTGTTCTGCCCTCTGGGATCTTCCTCCCTCCATGAAAACAGCCCTTGTGTCACAAATATGTTGCTGTCTCAGGTCCATTCTGTGCAATGCTAGTATCAAGAGGATCTATATGTTTTCTGTATTATTTTGGTTTACATGCAAAGGGTTGTACTTGTCCCTAGTGCTGGGATCTTCCTTGTACTAGGATCTTCTTACAATGAAGCTGAGAGGTAGAAAGATCCTAGATCCTAGTTCTAGGGACAAAGCAGACAAAATTGGCGAGCGGCCATTCACTGGCTAATCACCGCAATAAAGGCTGACCATTTCGTTTGGCATTACCACAAGCTAATTATTGTGATAATTCTGCTAAAAGGTAGTTGTTTATGCCAGTAAAAAGAGCAGACGGACTCAAGTTGCATTTTTGTTTTTGTGGTTCCTCCTGAAACCTTCTCTACTTGGGCACAACATGGACCGAAATTTCTGCATGTAAACCCAACATAAAGTTGTTCTGCCCTCTGGGATCTTCCTCCCTCCATGAAAACAGCCCTTGTGTCACAAATATGTTGCTGTCTCAGGTCCATTCTGTGCTGAAGTCATTACTTAGCTCCTTTTAATACCCATACACAAAAATTAATGCTCATGTAGAGTTGTCAAGAAGATATGAAACAAATTTTATCTGGGGCACTAACCATAATATATATATATATATTTTTTTTTTTTGGGGGGGGGGGTAATTATTTTTTTAGACATAGTATTAAACTTGAAAAGCTGGGCTAACTGTATTTAAGTTTCAATCCATATCCATCCATCGCATTGAAATAATTTCAGTGCCAAAATATAGTGTTAAATAACTGAACTGTACCAATATTTTTTGAATTCAATGATGCAGAACAAGTTTTGGCTTTATAGAAAAATAGCAAATTGCAGTAAATAGCAGCTTTAACTGCTTAATAATATTTATAATTGTTGTCCAATTAATGTGTGATAAATCCTTTCTTTGCACTTCACAGTTATTGCATTGGACAAATCGCGATTTGAACTTATTGAAAGTGGATGTCTGTAGGAATGAATGGCAGTAAGTGAACATACATATACAATATAATAATAATAATTTATTATGATAATAAGGTAATAATACTATTGTAACATTTCCTGGGGGGGAAATCTTGAAATCAAGCTATGGCTAGTTCATGACTCATTAATTTCCTCATGGGGAGTGGGAAAATGTGGGAATCAATAATAATATATTTATGTCTTTTACTCTCAGTAAAAAAAAAAAATCTTAAACATTAACAAAATATAGATAATTGTCAACAATAAAAAACTTATCCTTATTAATTTTTGTTAAATCTATTATCATTGTTTGTGACTGCACGTGACAAGTATTGTCCCTGTGAAAAGGGTTGTGACTGTGGTGCCTACTGCAATTTGATTCACTTAGTTTTAGATACTAACATATTTTCTCTCGTTACTTCACTCAGTGCTTGCTTGGCAACTCGAGAAACACACAGAGGGATATTTAACTTACAAGGGCGGCCTTCACTCTTCCATAATCAACACAACAGTGGTGAGGGAAACAGAACAAAGTCAAATGCAGTTTACCATTCAGGTAATGACTTAGAATAATAAAATAATTCTAAACATTTGACTTTTGAATGTCACCCTTCCAAACAATTAAATTTTGAACGTCATTCTCTCTTCCAAAAATTTGTTTTCTTTATTTCATTACTTCAAACTTGAGAATTGACAGTGACATCCTTTCAAACATTTGCATTTCAAATTTTTCATCCTTCCAAGCACTGAAATTCAAAAAATCATCCTTAAAAATACTTAAATTCCGATTGTTATTCTTCTGAACACTTGAAATCTAAGTGGTATCGCTCCAACCTTTTGAACTCTAAATGTCTTTCTTCCAAAATTCTTATTTTATCCTTCCAAACATTGGAATTCTGGCCTAATCCATCCAGACATTGGAATACTGATCTTACACCTCCAAGCTTTGGAGTTCTGACCTTATTGTTCCAACCAATTTAATTCTGACTTTATCCCTCCAAACACCTGAGTTGTGACCTTATCTTTTCAAAATTAATTTTGGAATTCTGACCTTTTCCTTCGAAACATTGGAATTCTGACCTTATTCTTCCAAACACTGGAATTGTTACCCGATCCTTTCAATGGAATGCTGCTCTTATCCTTCCAAACATCGGAAGTCTAAACGTCGCACAGCAGAGGTCCCAACTGCTTTCTTTTATTTGTAGGTAGCTGAGAACGTACGATTAAATAAATACCAAGCATTGGGCTGTTACAGAAAATAAATGTATGCGTGTGTTTTACCAACCTAATCCTATGCTATATATCGGGCACAAGATAAGCCATTACACTATTCCCTCTCTTAAGAAAGGAATCTCCTGATTCACGGTCACTTCAAGTAATAAAACAAAAGGAAATCAATCAGTTTAGTCTGTTAACAAAAACTCTGAAAAGTTTATCTCACTGAAAGAATGAACAGTTTCCCTGCAGTGTGCTTGCCTTCTTCAGCAATTTCGGTTTCAGTGTCTTTATGGGCTCCTTTTCCTCTAACATTTTTAAGCAGTCCAACATTTGCTGTAGACCATTAAGAATCCATTCACCATAAAGGTTGGAGGTTTTCTCATGGGTACTGGTCTTTGGCTCTGGCCAGTTGGCTGTTCAACTTCTGCCTCGTGTTTGTCTTCTCTTCTCTCCTGCCCACTCATCTCACCATTTTGAACATCTTTTGCGAGTCCACCTCCCTCTGTATCTGATTATCAACTCCCTGCTCACATTCACCACCAAGTTCAAATTTTTCGACTAGAGGCGTATCGACAAGGTAGGACCCATGCTTTATCTTGCCTGGTATGTTCACAACCTCACTGGGAAGCTCATCATTGGCCCCAACCTTGATATAACCTCTTCTTTGCTTGGCTTCTCATCATGCCAGGCTCCACTGCCTCTACCTCACCCAACACTTGCAGTACCCATTAACGGTCCATCCACCGAACACCCAACAGCCCGTTCCCCAATGCTTTCTCCCTGCCTACTCTGCTACAGTTGTAGGTTGGTGAAATGAACTACTTAAAGATCTCCTGGAATGTCCTATGACTTTCTTTACTGGATACATGATGTCCATGATGTGCTCCTTCGTTTCAAGTGGTCCCTCCCACTGTCAGTGGAAGTGGTTTGTTTTACCTGATTTCAGCTGTGGAGTGCAGCGTAGTACTAAATCTCCAGTTTGAAACATGTTTTATACATGTACCCCCCTTTTTCCCGATTCCGAGCTTCTTGCAGACTTTATGTAATTTCTAACCTATCATGAAGGTGTTCGTTAACTTCTCACTTATAGCGTGGTATTCGATAACGAGGCTGTTTTACTGGCTTGCAATCACCGGGGTGGATTTTGTAAATCAGAGCTGTCTTTTGCTAAGATGTCCTCTTAGTCCGTTACCAGGGACAAAAACTATCCTATTTAGTTATCCAAAAGCCCTTCTAGGTCACCTAGCAATTCTGATTAACCCCCTCTTGTCCTCCTTTGGCTGCTCCTTTTTCGCCACTGGTTTGTTTTGAACTGAACAAGATGAGTAAAGGACACTGGTTGAATCTGGGTCTGGTTCCAATAAAATAACGCAACTATGTTACTGTCAGGATATTATTCGGAGACAGGAAGATGTGCTCGTAGTTTAATGGGCCTATCTGCAAAGTCAGGAACTCAAACAAGAGTAAGTCCATCTACGTGTATTAGGTTTACTAAGGAATGGGCTAAGTTTATTTCAGATTTGCCTCTCAGTTCACTTTACTCCTTTAAGATCCCTAGAGTACCTGTATTATGCTCAAATCCGTTCTCCAATTTTGTTCAGTTGCGGGTTCCACTAGTACAGTGTATATCATCTCTAACATCAAAAGTGCCAGTGTCATCGTGAGTCTGACATTTAAAGTGCTAAAAAAAGTATGAGCCAAATTTGAGGTCATCGGACACTGACAGTTGTACAAGTGCCTAGCAATATTATATACAATTCACAAAATGATTCACAATTCTTGAAGAGTCTGATGTTTCTGACAGTACTTTGTTATTAACAAAAGCATCATTATTGGCGATTGCTGATGCTGCGTTAGGAGTCACGGTGACTGCTTGGCCTTCAGCAGGCGCAGGAGCGATATTCACTCTTGCCTGGCATGTTAACTACCTCTCTGGAAAGCTCATCATTGGCCTCAACCTTCATAACCTCTTCTGATCAACTAAACACTGTGCTAGGCTTCATTGACTCCACCCCAGCGGACACTGGTAGATGCATCTTTCTGCCGATACTGAGGTACTTGCAGACTTTGCCTCACATCACATTATGCAGTTCCTAACCTATGCTGCAGGCCACTGACAAATTCAGTATTTCCTCTCATCACCTTTGGTTAGTTCATTTCTGTTTGCTGTAGTCAGCGTTTCAATTACTGGCTTCAGTTTTGATACAAATCCAGTTATCCCCAATGTTCCCTCGTTCAAAACACTGGCAGTTGCACAAGTGTGTTGCAATATACAGGTCACACTCTGATTCACAATTCCTGTGACATAGATTGAAGAGTCTGATGTTGCTGACATTACTTCGTTATTAACAAAAGCAGGATTCATTACCTCGTTATTGGCAAATCCTGATGCTTGGGCCACTGCTTCAAGAATTACATGAACTACTTGGCCCTCCGCTGGCCCATAAAAGCTCTGTTTCCCCTTTGTTTCTGAGGGCGATTTCAAGTGAGCTTGCCAGGTTTCCAGGAAGCTAAACATACCACATTGTTACATTACAGTGCTGCCCGGTTGGGGTGGTTTCAGCTTTTCATTCCAGCCGATGAATCTTTGCACTTACACTGAAAAAAATTTTCATTCACACTAATGGGTAGTGGGGATGCAATTCTATGCGCTGACCACCCAATCCTTGGCCAAGCGGTAATTGTCTTACATTTAGTTACCCGAACTGTTATGAGTCTCAGGATGCTTTCAGTTCAGGCCATGTAGAGTGCACATCCCTGCCACATCACTCAGATGTGTTTCTTGCGGTGATAGGCCAGCACCCCCTCACCCTTCAATTCTTCCTGCTACATACAAGAAACATAGAACTGAAAAGGAGGGATCAAATGAGAGACCGCTTACGCCTGGCCATTGATTATGTGATAAGGATCCCAGTCATTTAAAAGCTGTGTTAATCACCATCTTTTAGCGTTCTGATTTATGTAGCTGTTGATTGTTGCATCTTCTACTTCTGAGCTGCTGTGAACCATTGTTTGACCCTTTTGTATCACTGTATCGTGCATATTTTATTCTTTTTTTGGCTCTTGTTCATTTTTCCTTGTTATATACAGTGAAAGAGAGATCAAGTTCCTTATGCTCTCGAATCTCATATGAAATTGTTTCACTCGCTGCTGAAGCTGTCACAACATTCGCAGACAATTTCCTTTCAAGAGTTGCCACTACCTGACAAGATTTATGAGCACTTTCTAATCGACGAAAAACACAAGCAGCCTCCACCAGTGACTTGACACCAGTCCTTGAATAAATTGGTCTCTTGCTAGTTCCGTCTTGATCGAATAAACCGCCTCTGTGTAGGCATTTTCCACCAATTCCACCCCACTATCCGCAGTCTTTGGTTCTGACTAGTTGGCTGTTCTTTTTTGGCCTTGTGTTCTCTCCTCCCCGCTGGTCTCTATTTTGAACATCTCCAGCAAGTCTACCTCCCTGTGTGTTCGATACATTTACTCCCTTATCGCATTCAGCACCGTGTTCAGGTTCTCCCCCTGGAACCATATGAGGAAGGCAGGACAGATATTCACTCTTGCCTGGTAAATTAACAACCTCGACAGAGAGCTCATCATAGGCTCCAACCTCAATAAACTCCCTTTTCTGCTCTGATAATCACCTTTGGCCTCTTCTCTTGTCTCATCCCTGCTCATCTCACAATTTTAAAAATCTTTGGTCGGTTCACTTCCCTCCATATCCAATATCACATTCACCACAAGGTTCAAGTACTCCAACTGGAACCATATCAGTAAGGTAGGACTGATACTGTTGCATGTCACATTAACAACCTCGCCAGGCAGCTAATCATTGGCCCCATTCTTGTTAACCTATTCTGATCAACTAAACACCGTATTAGGCTTCACTGACTCCCCCTCACTAAATGTTGGCAATACCCACTCACGATCCTTGGTCTTACCTTGAGGAGCATCCCCAGGACCTCTTCAGCTTCAAACACCAGGGGTCTCAGGCACTTATCAGATACATCTTTCTGCCAATACTGAGCTACTTTGCATCACATCACAATACGCAGTCTCTAATGAATCTTGAGGGTCACTGACAAATTCACAGTACGTAGCTTTTCTCAATGCCTTCGGCCCATCATCACATCCAGAAGTAATGTTACCTGTCTTCCAAACATAAACTCAAAAGATGTATGTCTCATTAAAGAGTGGACACTACTTTGGCTCTGGCCAGTTCTTTGTTCAACTTCTGCCTCACGTTCATGTTCTGTTCTTCCCTTCCCGTTCGTCTCACCATTTTTGAACATCTTTGGAAGTCCACCTTCCTCCGTATGATATACCTACTTCCTGCTCACATTCACCACCGTGTTTGAATTCTCTGACTAGAACTTATCTGATCTTATCCTTCGAAACATTAGAATTCTTATGTTATCCTTACAAATATTGGAATTGTGCCCCTATCCCTGTATACCTTGGAATTCTAGCCGTGTCCTTTGAAACATTATAACTTTTAGTTCCTTTTCCAAACATAGGAATTCTGGTCTCTTTTTTTATAAATTTTGGATTTCTAGCTCTTATCCTTCCAAACATTGGAGTTCTCCCCTATCCTTCCAAACATTGCAATTTTGGTCCCATTTTTTTAACATTGCAGTTTCTACCTTATCGTTCCAGACATTAATATTCTGGTCTTATCCTTCTAAAGATTATAATTCTGGCCCTATACCTACTTCCTGCTCAGATTCACCACCGTGTTTGAATTCTCTGACTAGAACCGTATCAGCAAGGCAGGACCAATAGTCACTCTTGACTGGCATGTTCACAACCTCACTAGGAAGCTTATAATTCCTCAACGTCAACAATTTTTTTTCTGCTCCACTTAACAACATACCAGACTCCACTGACTCCACCTTACTCAACCCTAGTAGTACCCATTGATGGTCCTTGCCCTCACCATGAGGAACGTTCACTGACCCCTTAGAAGCTGGTTCCTCATGCTTTCTTCTTGCCTTCCCTGGTAAAACTTCAAGATGTTGAAATGAACTACTTGAGATCTTCTGGAATGTCCCCTAACTTTCTTTACTGGATATGTGATGTCCATGACATGCTCCTTTATTTAAAATGGTTCATGCCACTGTCAATATAATTAGTTTGCTTCACGGTTAGACTTCCTAGTCTTCTCGGATAAGTACCATAAACCGTAGGCCCCGTCTCACAAGCCCTTTCACATGTAATAAATCTGTGGGACGTTAAAGAACACACTTTTCGTAAAGAGTAGTGTAGTGGTCTATCTCATTTTCACACTCATGTATGGGGGCATCATTACTCATTCCTTCATTACTTGTAAACTGCACCAGTGTTGTAAATTATCCCTGAAAAGCCGCGAGGGGAGTGGATAATAGATTATTATTTTCAATTTACAATTTACAATTTACCTGGTTTCAGCTGCACTAAATCTCCAGTTTCAAAGACCGTGTGTCTAATGTCTTCATCGTATACATCCTTCTGCGGATGCTGAGCTACTTGCAGACTTTGCCTCACATCAGGATATGTAGTTTCTAACCTATCTTGAAGGTCACTGACAAACTCCGAGTAGTTCCTAGATGTTATTGGATGTAGGTGTCTCTTCGGTTCTGGTCTAGACTTGCACTTGGTCCATATCAGCCAACTTCCATGGTACCTATTCACTGCTTCAGTCAATCTTGGTCTCCAAAACCTGGCTTTTGTTTTCCTCAATGTTTTTATCCTTCATTAATGGCCACTTGCTGGACCATTATGAACTTCAGTTAGGGCTTTTTTAACAAACCCGTTGGGTAAAATCTTCCTGCTCTTAGCTAACAACGTTACTTTGACTGACTGAAGGTAACATACTCCTTCTCGTAGCTCTAACAGTTTCCAAAGTGCCTAGATTTCCCTTGTTGCTCGACTCATGGGTTGCAGCTCCTTATCAGATGGTAACCGATAAGTGACAGCCGATCTACAACTGGGTCAATATCTGGATCCTGGGCTTGTACTTGGGCGTAATTCTTGAGTGACCATACTTTCTTTTCATTGGAATTCTACCCCTATCCTTATAAACATTGGAATTTTCTTTTTCTCCTTCAAGACATTGGAATTCTGGCCCTATTTTCCCAAACATTGGAATTCTGACCTTATCCTTCCAGACATTGGAATTCTAATTTTATTCCTCCGAACAATTGACTTCTGGCTCTATACTTCCAAACATTGAAATTCTAGCCCTTATCCTTCAAAACTTTGTCCTAGCCCTATCCTTACAACATTGGAATTTTTCTTTTATCCTTCCAAACGTTGGTATTCTGCCCCTATACTTAAAAAACATTGCAATTCTAACCTTATTCTTTTAAACATCGGAATTCTGACCTTATCCTTCCACACGCTGGAATTCTGGTTCTATTTTTATAATCATTGGAATTCTAGCCCTTATCCTATCAAATGTTACAATTCTGGCACTGTTTTTATAAACATTGGAATTCTAGCCCTTATCCTTTCAAACATTGTAATTTTAGCGCTATCCTTACAAACATTGGAATTGTTATTTTATCCTTTCAAACATTGGAATTCTTGTCTCGTCCGTCCCAACATTAGAATTCTGCCCTATCCTTCTAAACACTGGCATTCTGATCTTATCCTTTCAAACATTGGAATTCTAACCTAATCCTTCCAAACATTGGAATTCTGGTCTTATATTTCTAAACATTGAAATTCTTTTCTTATCCTTCCAAGCATTAGAATTCTGGCCCTATCCTTCCAAACACTGGAATTCTGACGTTATCTTTTGAAACACTGGAATTCTAATCTTATCCTTTCTTACATTGGAATTCTGACCATATCCTTCCAAACATTGGAATTATGACCCTATCATCGGAAACATTTAACTTCTGACCTTAGCCTTCGAAACATTGACATTCTGGTCTTATTCTTCTAAAGATTATAATTCTTGCGCTAACCTTCCAAACATTGGAATTTTGGTTTTATCCTTCCAAACATTAGAATTCTAGTCCTATCCTTCGAAACATTGAAATTCTGACCTTATACCTTCCAAACACTGACATTCTGGTCTTATCCTTCTACAGGTTATAATTCTTACCCTATCCTTCCAAACATTGGAATTCTGGTTTTATCCTTCCAAACATTAGAATTCTGGTCCTATCCTTCAAAACATTAGAATTCTGACCTTATCCTTGGAAACGCTGGAATTCTGGCCTTATCCTTCTAAACATTGGAATTCTAGTCTTATCCTTCCAAACATTGGAATTCTGACCTTATCCTTCCACACATTAGAATTCTGACCTTATCATTCCAAGCATTAGAATTCTGACCTTATCCTTCCAAACACTGGAATTTTGATCTTATCCTTCCAAACATTGGAATTCTAGCCCTTATTATTTCAAACATTGGTATCTTAGCTCTTATTCTTTATTCTCTTATTCTGGAGTTTTGATCTTATCCTTCGAAACATTGGAATTCTTATGTTATCCTTACAAACACTGGAATTGTGTTCCTATCCCTGTATACCTTGGAATTCTAGAAGTGTCCTTTGAAACATTATACTTTTTATTTCCTTTCCCAAACATAAGAATTCTAGTCTCTTTTTTTATAAACTTTGGATTTCTAGCACTTATCCTTCCAAACATTGGAATTCTCCCCTATCCTTCCGAACGTTGCAATTTTGGTGCCATTTTTTTTTTTAACATTGGAGTTTCTACCTTATCCCTCCAAACATTGGAATTTTGACCTTATCCTTCCAAACATTGACATTCTGGTCTTATCCTTCTAAAGATTNCATTGGAATTCTGACCTTATCCTTCCACACATTAGAATTCTGACCTTATCATTCCAAGCATTAGAATTCTGACCTTATCCTTCCAAACACTGGAATTTTGATCTTATCCTTCCAAACATTGGAATTCTAGCCCTTATTATTTCAAACATTGGTATCTTAGCTCTTATTCTTTATTCTCTTATTCTGGAGTTTTGATCTTATCCTTCGAAACATTGGAATTCTTATGTTATCCTTACAAACACTGGAATTGTGTTCCTATCCCTGTATACCTTGGAATTCTAGAAGTGTCCTTTGAAACATTATACTTTTTATTTCCTTTCCCAAACATAAGAATTCTAGTCTCTTTTTTTATAAACTTTGGATTTCTAGCACTTATCCTTCCAAACATTGGAATTCTCCCCTATCCTTCCGAACGTTGCAATTTTGGTGCCATTTTTTTTTTTAACATTGGAGTTTCTACCTTATCCCTCCAAACATTGGAATTTTGACCTTATCCTTCCAAACATTGACATTCTGGTCTTATCCTTCTAAAGATTATAAATCTGCCCCTATCCTTCGAAACATTGGAATTCTGATCTTATCCTCCCAAATTTTAGAATTCTGACCTTATCCTTCCAAACATTGAAATTTTAACCTTATGCTTGCAAACACTGGAATTCTGGCCTTATTCTTCCAAACATTGGAATTCTAATTTAATCCTTCAAAACATTGGAATTTTGACCTTATCCTTCCAAACATTGACATTCTGGTCTTATCCTTCTAAAGATTATAATTCTGCCCCTATCCTTCGAAACACTGGAATTCTGATCTTATCCTCCCAAATTTTAGAATTCTGACCTTATCCTTCCAAACATTGAAATTCTAACCTTATGCTTGCAAACACTGGAATTCTGGTCTTATCCTTCCAAACACTGGAATTCAAGCCCTTATTGTTCCAAATATTGGCATCTTAGCTCTTATTCTTCGAAACACTGGAGTTTTCATCTTATCTTTCAAAACCCTGGATTCTTGTGTTATCCTTACAAAGATTGGAATTGTGCCCCTATACCTGTATACCTTGGAAATCTAGCCGTGTCCTTTGAAGCATTA